GAGAGAGTGAGAGAGGAGAGAGAGAGAGAGAATTTTTAATATTTATTTTTTTTAGTTCTCGGCGGACACAACATCTTTGTTGGTATGTGGTGCTGAGGATCGAACCCGCGCCGCACGCATGCCAGGCGAGCGCGCTACCAATTGAGCCACATCCCCAGCCCTACATTGTGATTCTTTTGTTGAAGCTTCAAAGTAAGGTATTCAGTTCTTCATGGATTTAGGAATAAATCCTGGCTTTATGATTCCTGTGGTTCAGTATGTATCAGAAAAAGTTTTTAATTTTATTCATTTATTTAGGTACTAGAGATTGTACCCGGGGGTGTGTACCCACTGAGCCATATCCCCAGCCCCTTTTTTAAAATTTTTCATTTTGAGACAGGTTCTCACTAAGTTGCTTAGAGCCTCACTTTGTTCCTGAGGCTGGCATTGAACTTGCAATCCACCTGCCTCAGCCTCCTGAGCTGCTGGGATTATAATAGGCATGCATCACCACACCCAGACAGAAAAAGCTTTATGATGATATCAGGACATGTTTAATAGTGTTGCCAAGCTTAATTCTGGGTCTCCTTACAATGAGAACTTGCTAAATTATGCATTTGACCTTAACTTGCTAACGTAACTCTTCTAAAGTCTTCAGACTTTAAGAACAGCTTACATACATCTCAAAATTGAATTGGAAAGTTCTGATTTGGATATAATTTGTGTTTTGTCCCTCAAAGGTGCAAGTGCTGGTCCTTAGTGTGGCAGTGTTGGGAGATGGGGCCTTCATTGAGGCTCCACACTTAGAAGGAATCAATGCAGTTCTTGGGGGACTCTGGTAAAGGAGAAAGAGATTGTGAAAAGAGCAAGCCTGGCCCCTGAATTCCTCTGGCTTCCTATCTTGCCTTGTGGTTTCTCCCTCTCTCTTACCCTTCCAGAGTGTTGCTGCCATACTGTCTCCAGAAAGCCCTCATCAGGGCTGAGCAAGAGGAGGTACCACACTCTTAGACCTCTATAAATGTAAACTAAGTAAACCTCTTTTACAGATTCCCTAATCTCAGGTATTTTATTATGGAGACAGAAAAAAAAGACTAACACAGAAAATTTAGGATTTTCACATTCTACAAGGAAAAACTGCAACCCCATCCCTGAATTCAACACCCCAATATATACTGTTAATGTTTTTCCTAAGTTTTTTATGGTATCAAGAGATGACACTATCTAAATAATAGTGACATCTGATTCATTAAGAACAATTTTGTAATCATTAAAATCTGGCAATTAAAATCACAAATCTAGTAATGAATAATCATGCAAGCACTAATCTATCACAACTATTCCCCTAAAATAGCAATTGATGCTCATTAACTTTTAAGCTTTTGCTTCTCCAGTTGGAATAAACTTTATTACTTTTCTAGAAAAAATGACTACAAATTATAATAAGAATTTTATTATGTCATTTTTGATATTTTCAAAAAATATTTATTTTTTAGTTGTAGTTGGACATAATACCTTTATTTTATTTATTTTTACTTGGTGCTGAGGATTGAACCCAGGGCCTTGCATGTGCTGGGCAAGCACTCTACTGCTAAGCCATAGCCCCAGCCTTTCAAACAGTTTCTTAATGTATTTATTATAGATTATAATGTACTTATTGTAAATATCTTCTATAAGACCTTTATATTATAAATTTTCCTAACATAATCAATCTCTTAGCAGACTACTAGGAGTTGTGTTTAGCAAGTGAGCCAAACACAAAAAGTGACAAGKTGGATCAGATCCTTGTATGATCTACCAGAATTTTATGTAGTTATTAGCATTTTTATTGTGTGTGATTGACATTAATCTAGAATAGATGGTTTTAATTAAACAGTATATTTCATGGTGTGTTGTATATATGTAAATATTGTGCAGGGCTGCGGATGTGGCTCAAGCAGTAATAAGCTTGTCTGGCATGCTCGGGGCGCTGGGTTTGAACCTCAGCACCACATAAAAATAAAATAAAGATGTTGTGTCCACCGAAACTAAAAAATAAATATTAAAAAATTCTCTCTCTCTCTCAAAAAAAAATATTGTGCAGATGTATTCATAGAATTGAATTTGAGGCCGTTTAAACTCTGGTGAGAAAATGTTGGTCAATTTTAATTAAAATTTTGTACTATCAAAAGGAAGTATTATTAATGCTTGTATAAAATGGAAATTAAGAGAGTAAAATAAAGACATTTTAACTCTGCTATTAATGAATTTCACTCTCAGTTCTTTATATAAATCAAATCTGTAATAAAATATGATCATGTATGCCTTTTCACCTTTTTACTCTTATAAATAATGCTTATATTTATCTTAAAATGATTTCCAACTATTCTCAAAGGACTGTCTCTCTCTCTTTTTTTTTTTTTTTTTTTTGGTAGTTGTGGTGATTGGGGATAGGGGTTGAACCCAGGGGTGCTCAACCACTGAGCTACATCCCCAGCCCTTTTTATTTTTTAATTTGAAACAGGGTCTCACTAAGTTGTCAAAATTGGCCTTGAACTTGGGATCCTCCTACTTCCCAAGTTGCTGAGACTATAGGCGTGCACCACTGCGCCTGGCTGCCTGAAGGGCTAACTCTAGGAAATGAAGTAACTACCTGAGAGATGTATTTTAAGACTGCTGAGACAGGTTGTGTAATGTCTTTAGCTAGTGTTCACTCCCTGCAGCAATGTGTGACACTGCCCTTTCCCTGTACTTTCACTGGTATTTTTAATATTTATCAGCATTTAGTATTGGAACTATTGCTGACTGACAAGGGTCATGTTGTGAGAGACATGTTGTTTGGTGATTTCACAGTTGTATGTTATGTGAACATCAGAGAGTGTACTTAACACAAACCCTGATGGCATAGGTCACTCACCCTATGTGGCCTCTTGATGTGGTCAAGAGATGGGGTGAGCATGACATATATGAGGCTGTTTCCAGGGCAACATAGCATACTTCTTTTTTTTTTTAATGAGTAGAGTGAGTACAATCTAAAGTAATGATAAAAAATATAGTATAATAAAAACATAGAATAGAAACATAGTCATTATTATCAGCTAGCATGTACTGTACATTATCGTGTGAACTATACTCTCACAACTGACAGTGCATTAAGTTTGTTTACACCAGCATCACCCACACACTTGAGTAATGAGTTGTGCTACCACCTCACTAGGTGATAGTAACTTTACAGCTCTATTATGATTTAGGAGACAACGATGTTGACCGAAAAGAAACAATGAAACATTATGTGGCAGATGACTGATAGTTAATTTATAAATATGTGTTGGGTGTGTGTGTGTGCGTGAAGGATATGTTCTGAGAGATATGTGGTTTGGTGATTTCATTATTGTATATTGTGTGAACATCAGTTTGTTTATGTGTCTGTCATTGGTTTTTGAATAAATTTGATGCTCAGAATGTTATTTTCATTTGAGTCCTTTAATAAAAGATAAAAAGTTTTAGATTTTTACTTAGAATTTTGTGAATTGTCTAGTCATTACAGTCACATAATCTTTTAGTTGAAAAGGTTTTACCATTTCTTTTGTAGTGTATTATAATTTATGAAATATCAGTATTATCCTGTCATGTGTTAGAAATGTATTTTTCTCTAGTTTAAAAAAAAGGTAATTTTTTTAAAAAAGGAAAATTTACTGTATAATTTTAAGAGGACTATCTGAACCTTACATAAAAGATAACTTGTTCTATTGCTCTTTAGGTTTTCTTTCTTCCTTTAAGTAATACCATCCTCAGCTGTTTTAAAGATAATTCCATCTTTGCCTGGGAATGTGATACTCTTTTTTGCAAATATCAATTGCCAGCTCCACCTGAAAGCTCAAGTATTATATATAAAGTGTTTGCTGTGACCAGGTAACGTGCATTTTAAGACACTGGGAATTTTTAAAGAAATGTCATTTCAGCTAAAAATTACAAATTTTCATTGATTACCTTCTTATCAAGTAAGGAACAGTTTTCTTCAAATTTAGACGTGGTCTGCAGGCTTTTTTTTTTTTTACTTTATTTTTTCAAAATTTCAAAAATACACAAAAATAAAAAGGTGCATGATCTCTTAAGTACTCTGACCAGCTACAGTAATCAACTAATGGCTACTCCTGTTTTTGTCTGTATCTATTGCTCCTACTGTATTGTTTTGAACAAAGATTGAGTATATCATTTCATCCATAAATATTTCAATGCATATCTCTAAAAAAAGATAAGGGCTATTTTAAGAACATAACCATAGAGTCATTATCACGTTTTAAAAATTAAATATTTCTTAATATTGCCATACATCATTGTTAAAATTTCCCTGATTTGTCTTTTTTATGACTGAATTGTTTAAATCAGCCACAGAACAAGGTTCACACATTGGATTTGGTGGATATGTATTTGTTAACTGATCATCTCTCCTGCAGTTTTATGTATTGTGGATTTTACTCTTTATGTCTATGTTGTATTATTAATATGCTCCTATTATGTAYGTATTTCCTGTACGCTGATTATATTTGTATATCTAAAAACTGGAGACTTTATCTGAGCAAGAAGCAAGAAAATCTTATAAGTGGTTTGTGTACTTTCTTCAGGAGCAATCTAGAACCCTTTCTCTTCTGATTTTAATGGTCATTAATAATCATTACCTAGATCCACTATTGGACAAGTGGTTAGCACAATGGTGCTATTTTGACTTTCCTTCTTCACTTATTAACTAGTTCACTTATTAACTGTCATTTCTTCACTTATTATTATTATTATTAGAATTTTTAATATTTATTTTTTTTAGTTCTTGGCGGACACAACATCTTTGTTGGTATGTGGTGCTGAGGATCGAACCCGGGCCGCAGGCATGCCAGGCGAGCACGCTACCTCTTGAGCCACATCCCCAGCCCTCTTCACTTATTAATTAGAACCCTTTCATAGAAACACTTCCACTCGTCCACCCTTATTACTTTGATATATAGTTTGTAAAGGAAAAACAGGAAAATGCTTGATTTTCTCCTCTTTCTTTTTTCAGCCAGTTTTCTATGTAAAAATTGATTTATTGGTATTTTTCAAAGGTGGTCATTGAAGTTTTTATCTTTAATCTTTGTAGACTCATAGATTTAACATAGTTGGTACATTTTAATGCAATGTAGTTTTAGGGGTTTTTGTTTGTTTGTTGTTGTGTGTGTAGATTGAACCCAGGGGTGCTTTAACACCCACCTACATCCTGTCCTTCTTGTTTTTTGTTATGAGACAGGTCTCTTGATAAGTTGCTGGGGCTGGCCTTGAACTTGTGATCCTCCTGCTTAGCCTCCAGAGTCGCTGGGATTACAGGCACACTTCACTGTGCCCAGCTTGCCATTAATAGCCTTGGTGGTGCATTGGTTCTTTCATCTTTGACCAGTGGGATCCTTTTCAAGTTTGTTTTTGAATCCCTTTTGATACCACCCCAGTTGCCTATAGTAGCTTTTATGCTTTCTGATAGGTCTAGATATTCCATGTCTATCTTGTACATTTTGTCCCAAGCCTGGAATAGGCTATTTCTCTAAAGAATGTGAGTTCAGTTTATTGGAAGATGGTATTTTGAGCCCCTAATCTTGTTGTGATTGGGTTGATCAGTATTTCTAGGCCTCTTCAATGGAAGAGCTAGGAAATTGTGGTCAATTCCTCTTTTCTCTCACTCTTCTTCTAGGTCATCAGTAAATCCCATTAACTATCAAACCATCATGGATCTCACACTTTAACAAATTACACTCATCAAATCGAGTTGTTCAAATTTTTTGTCCATTGTCACTGATCTTACCCTAGCCCAAGCAACTTTAGTCTCTTTTCAGACTGTTGTACTAGCCTCCTTATTTAGTCTACTTATTTTCACTTCCATTTCCTAACATCAGTCTCTGCACAAGCAGATAGAGTGATCTTTTAAATCATTGTCAGTGATGCTGGCGATATAGCTCAGTTGGTAGAGTGCTTTCCTAGCATGCATAAGGCCCTGGGTTCAATCCCCAGTACCAATTAAAAAAAAAATCATTGTCAAGTCCTGTCACTTTCCTTCTATATATAGCTCTCTTCAAAGAGCTTTATTTCCTCCTCTGTCCCTGGCTGCTACAGTGATAGCTGCCTTTTAGTAGGAACTTGATAATTCCTCGAATAAATAAGCAACAGCCTTGCAAACCAATACTACTTATCCTTTTTGCACCTTTCCTTCTTTGAGTAGGAAAAGTTTGGCCTTTTTAAATGTTTTTATATGTATAGCAATGCACTATCAATTCTGTATAATTGTATGTGAAATATAAAAGTTGTATAGTTGTATAGTGAGAGATTATGCTATAAAATGTAAATGTTACTCAGAAAACCCCTGATCAAGTGGTCACACAAGTGTTTGTTAAGCTGATGCCTTAACACAAAAGGTGAAAAAAATGTATGCATATACACACCCCTGTAAATGTAAACTGTCTTGTCTGGTAGCCACTGGCCACATGTGATTATTTAAATTAATAAAAATAAAAATTAATTTCCTCAGTAGCACTGGTCACAATTCAAGCAGTCAGTAATCATGTGGCTAATGGTCACTACTTTAGACAGCATAGAGAGCATTTCTGTCATCACAGAAAGTTCTGTGGAACCGTAATGCTGTTGACAGGTTAGCTGGTCTTACTTTTTCATCTTTTTGGTAATATAGAGATGGTCGAATCCTGGCTGCTGGAGGCAAATCAAATCACCTTCATTTGTGGTGCTTGGAAGCTACACAGCTCTTCAGAATTATCCAGATGCCAACTAAAGTTAGAGCCATTCGCCATCTGGAATTTCTTCCTGATAGTTTTGATGCTGGTTCTAATCAGGTTAGTAATGGAATTGTAGGACATTAAACTATTTTAGCTTATACTTATTTAACTTATACCCTGATGGACAAGAATCTGAAATTCTAAGTATATATTTTTTTTAATATTTATTTTTTGCTTATAGGTGGACACAATATCTTTATTTTATTTTTATGTGGTGCTGAGGATCGAACCCAGTGCCTCACTCATGCTTGTCTGAGCCACAACTCCAGCCCCTAATGTATATTATTTTTGTGAAGAGTCTAGACTTGAAAAAATTGCAAAATCTTATGTTCTTTATATTTCTCACAAATATTTACCTTAACTTTCTTATTTTAATTGACCATCATGGACCTCACACTTTAACAAATTACACTCATTATGTTTTATGCATACGTACATACATACATATGTATACAGAATGTTTGCATATATGTATCATATCTATTATAAATACATTTTTGAATAGATAATGCATTCACATGGTTGAAATTATAAAACTTATAAAAGGCAGGTAGTGGTAAGGGCCTCAGCCCTCTCTCCCATCGGTCTGGTCCCCTATAACCACTGTTTTTATATATAACATCATGTTTTCCCCTCTTTTTATACAAACCTTGCACCTTTTATCCTTCACTTAATTTGGAGATTATTCTCTGTTAGTATAGAACTTCTTTTTTATAGCTGAGTAGTGTTTCATACTTATTTTTTTAAATCAGTTTTATTATTGGGCTCCTTAATTAATTTTAGTCCTTTCCTGTTACAAATAATATAGCACAGAACAGCTTGTAGCAAATGCCATTTTACACATCCTATTTGTAAGATAAAATTCCAGAATTGAAATAATGGCATAAAGATTATGTGCATCTGTAATTTGGATAGGATCTTAACAAAAGGTTTCCATCAGCTGCAGATGAGGGAGTTTGTTCTCTACCAGCTGATGAAGAGAAAAACACATTTTTGAGACTGTCCCCTCCAAACTAGTTTTTGTACAACAAGCAGCATCTGCATTTTGAGGAATCAGTTGGTGTTACCACTTACAGCTACCTGCTCTGAGAAAGAGCCTATGCCTAAGGCCCAGAGAGCAGAGAGTTTGTTTGCTTAAACTTTTTTATTACATGCTTTTAATGTTTCAAATTCAAATTAATTTTTTTTCTCTTAAAAGACTAGCTTCCCTCTAACTCATCTACAACCCTTGCAACCCAAATCTTTCTCCACTCCCCAAATATTAGTTACAGTTGCAGAAGACAGGTAGACAGTGGGGAGCCTCACCAGGAGACACGGGTGCAGGTGGAGGGGAACGGCAGATAAACCCTGTCTTCTCCGCTTCTGACAGCAGTGGAGGTAAAGGTTTGAAACTGTTCAGTCATGTATCCCCGCTGTCTGTCGTCAGTGGACATGGCATACCTGTGGGGAGGGAAGATCCTTGTGTCACCTTTCATAGTCTCCCAGGATGCATTCCTGGTTCTGGTTAAAGCCAGATCTAGGCTTGAATAGAGCAAATCAACATGAACAATAATTAGTGCTTTTAAAATGTATAATGGCCCACTGAGAATGGATCTTCACTTGTCCCCCTGCCAAAAATTATATTCATATAAGAATATATATATGTTTAGAAAGTATATGTATATACAGTTTGAGTTTTAGACATTGGAAATGTTTTTTAATAATTCTTTGTATCTTTCTACCCTTAGGTTCTTGGAGTGCTAAGTCAAGATGGTATTATGAGGTTTATCAATGTACAGACTTGTAAACTTCTCTTTGAAATTGGAAGCCTTGATGAAGGAATTAGCACATCAGTAATTAGCCCACATGGACGATACATTGCATCTATTATGGAAAATGGAAGTCTGAATATATATTCAGTTCAGGCTTTAACACAAGAAATAAATAAGGTATGCTATCAAGTAAACAACATTAGTTTTTTAAAAACATTTCAGTATTGTATCATCAAGAATAAAATATCCATTGCATGAACGGTGCAACTCTGCATCATGTACAACCAGAGAATTGAAATGTTGTGCTCTGTTTGTGTACAATGAATTGAAATGCATTCTGCTGTCATGTATAACTAACTAGAACCAAAAAGAAGAAGAAGAAGAAGAAGAATATCCATGCTCCTCTTTTCTGACTTGGAACTTACCACCTATTTTTTTGGTGTATTTTGTTGCTCTTATTCCCAGAGCCACATTTCCAGTTGTGATTTCTCACCAATGTTCCTTGCTTAAGTGGCTGCCTTTTTAAATGACCTCTGTTTGGTGTCCTTGTCTCATGCAAGATATCATTCATGATCTCCTTCCCACAAGAGGTATTTAATCTTAGTTTCTTTATTTCTGTCTCCTCTTTCTTCCCGTCTTGTGGCTAGAAAACTTGAAGCTCTGCTACTGTTTGTTTCTTTATTTCCTAAATCTTGTTAATACTAAGTCATATAATTTCTTAAATTTGAAATATCTGTGTGCTGCTTCTCTGTCACCATAATAGCTGTACTTGTTTTTTTTCCTCATAAAGTACCCATGAATAGCAGTAATTTAAACAAATACCCTAACCTCAGAGCCCACGGTGCTATCCCTGCCCATCAGTCTTATCTCCTGTACAACATTTTTCTAAAATACTTTCATCATTATTTCTTAAATAATGACACTTTAGTGGCTTCCTTCTTTTGCATTCTGTCCAGACTCTTCTACTTGGCTCTCAATGTCCTCTCTAATCCTTTTACCTCACTTATTTTCCCATACTTACAACTTCTCTTATTGTCCATAATCAGTAATCAGCCAACATGGATGATACGTTGCATCTATTATGGAAAATGAAGTCTGAATGTATTCGTACATATTCATGGACCCTTGTTGGAACCATTTTTATTTCTGCATCTGTTACCTACATCAGATACACTCCCAGCCCTCTGCTGTGGTTCTCTAAAAGCCCTCCAGCTAACAAGTTAGATTGTATGCAGACTCCTAGTGGTCCTAGGGAAGTTTGTGCCCCAGTCCAGTCACACAGCTAGTCGCTAGTGGAGCAGGTGTCTGATTCTTAACACAGTATTTGTGTGTGTGTGTGTGTGTGTGTGTGTGTGTGTATGTGTGTGTGTCTTTTTTTGCCTTTACCTTTTTAAAAACATTATACAAGTAATAAGTGTCTCATTGCAGGAAAAAAATGAAAAGCTACCCATAACAAATAAATAAAAATTACTTAATGTCTCAGCATTCTCAGATGACTTTAATGTTTGCATTCTCAGTCTTTTGTGTATAAATATATGCAGTCACCCCTTGCTATTTGTGGGTATATTTGAGAATTTGCCTATTCACTAAAATTTATTTGTAATGCCAAAATCATTTATTGCGGCGCTTTTATAGACATTTGCAGATGTAGTGAAAATTTTGAGTTGCTCTGTGCCCTAAAGTTGAACAAGGCATTGCTATGCTTTCTTGTTGCAGCTCTTGTATTCTAATCTTGTCTCTTTTTCGTGGTCCTTTTAGTGTCATGTTTCTGCACTTTGAGGCTTTCTGTTGTGGTTTAAAGTGAAGCCTAGTCATAGTGCTATCGAGTTGTCTGTGGTTTCTGAGCACAAGAAGGCTGTGCTGTGCCTTAAATGAAAATATGTATGTTAGAAAAACTCATTTAGTCATTGTCACACTGCTTTGGGCTCTGAGTTCAGTGATAATGAATCAACAATGTATATTGAATGACGTTCTTTCTTTAAACAGAAGCACACGTGAAACAAGRTTATATTATTGATCAGTTGATGAAAATGTTGTGGCCAGAGGCTCCCAGGAATTTAACTCTTTTCCCCTAGAATCAGGATTCAATATTCACTCATTCAGTGTTTGAAGTAAATCCACAGAGCTGTGAATAATCATCTAAACATGTGTATGTGTAGGTGTCTATAAACATGCATCTTCTCTAACATTGGATTATACTTTGTATAATTGGATTATATTCTTATTTAGATTATTATTTAGATTATACTCTGTATAATTGGATCATATTCTTATTTAGATTATTATGTTTACACATAACATTTAGTAATATTTTATGTGTTATAATATTTATTGTATATTAATATATTTAAAAATATTTGTGCATTATCTATCCTTAATGAGAGACTTTTCAGCCTTATTAGTCAGTTTTTCAGTACTAACTAAACCATAGAAAGAGGCAGGGAGGTATCTGAGAACAACTGTGGTAGGAGTAACTCATAGAGTTCCTCCATGCTCTTATTTATTGAGCAAATTGAACAGAAAACCCAGCTTAATTTAAACAAGGTGGAATATTCTTTCAAAGTTTTGGGTACATCCCCTGCACCATCATTGTCTTTATGGATCTTCAGCTGCATATTCTCTAAAAACCTGAACCCACCTGTGTACCATTCCTTCCACATTTTGTTTCTGCACTTTCCTTGTCCTGAGAGAATTTCTGATACTGGGCTAATAAGTAAATGGATTCTTATGTGTTGAAATTGTAACAGTACAAAGGTATGTCAAATCAGGTCACATCTCAGGCCCTGACTCTTGGAGGTTGTAATTCAGGTGGACGATGAAGTACAACTCGGGGAAAACAACATTAGAATAAAAAAGAAAGTTTGATACAAATTTAGAAGAAAGGGTTGAAGTCAGAGATCAGATAAACTAAGGATATTAAAGATGAGCATAATATTTAAGTCAAGACTACTTTTAATTCTATTCCATAGATGAAGAATTAAAGAACTGAATCATAGAATATAAATGGTCGTTGTGCTTTAATTGTGTTTAGAATGTGGAAAGTCTCAGTGACCTTATCTGCTTATTTCTTTTGAATAAGGAGTATCTTCTGATTTCAAAGAGAATATGACGTATGGAGAACAGATTCTAATGAGTCCTTTTACGTTGCATACATGGAAGTTGTCGGTTATTTTCCCATTTGATATACCCCATAAAAATAAGGGTTTGGATCCTAAGTCATGCCATCTGAGCTGCCTCATAGCAGTTGATATAGTAAGGAACTGACAGTCCTCACTGTGTGGATTATAGCCTTGAGTCTGGACAGAGAGGTGGGGGTCCTGTGCTGTCAGAGGAAAGTCGTTTGGCAGTTTCCTCTTCCTTAGATGTCACTTGAGCCTGAAGACTGTTAGGGTGCTTCTCTCAGTGTTTTGATGACCACGTGGGCAGCTATACCTTCTCTGGAGTAGAGTGTCACTGTACTACTGACCTTGTCATGCAAGCATGGAAATGGGTTTGCACTGTATGGTTTTAGGCCAGCTTTCAAGGAATAATTAAATTCTACCTATTGCTGATATTCATCATGTATCATTCTTCTTCAAAGAAATATGGCAGAAATTTGCTTTGTTAGTCAATAATCTTAAAGCTGGGTGCTATGGCACATGCCTGTAATCCAGTGGCTTGGGAAGCTAAAGCAGAAGGATCACAAGTTCATGGCCAGCCTCAGCAAATTAATAAGGCCCTCAGCAATTTAGTGAGACCCTGTCCCAAAATTTAAAAGAATTTAAAAGCGCTCCTGGGTTCAATCCCTTGTACAAAAAAAAAAAAAAAAAAAGAAGAAGAAGAAGAAGGAAAAGAAAACATTGTTAGACGTTTTACTTATACTTTTTGCCTGAAGAATAATTATACATAATTTCAGAAATCATATATTAAGACCTATTTTCCAAGAATATCCACTATGTGTATGCATATAGTTTTTTTTTTTTCTTCTTTCAGCCGCCACCTCCTTTAGTGAAAGTAATCGAAGATTTGCCCAAGAATAAACTGAATGCCAGTGATGTTAAGATGATGGTTCCTTCAGGAAGAGTACAGCGGCCAACAAAATCCAGAGATAGCAAAATTCAGACTAGAATATTAAAACAAGACCTCACTGGTACTTTTGAAAATAAAGAGGTAAGAATATTTTATCATTAAACTCTGTTTTATCATAACACCATTGTAGGCAGATCTTGTGATTTGTAGGCCATTGTCACTTCCCTGTCCTGGAACCTAAAGGAATATCATATGAAGAGAAGAACATGGTAACTGAAATTGCATTGTGCTTTTATGCATTTTATGTTTTGACATAAATGTAGCACATGTTTATGTACTTTAAAAAGACAGTACAGAACTGTACTGTCTAATATGCTAGCCACTAGCATGTGACCGATGAATACCTGAAGTGTGGCTAGTCTGAATCAAGTCACGCTCTAAATTAAAACACTTTCACAGTAAGAAGGTGTGAAAACTTAGAATCAAGTAAATAATGTAAAATATCTTATTAGTCAATTATTTTTGTACTGATTATATGTTGAACTGATCTCATTATGTTGGGCTAACTATTATTATTAAGCTGAATTTTCCCTATTTCTCTACGTTTTGGATGTGATTCCTAGAAAATTTTTAATTTTGTAGCCCGTGTTGTACTTCTTTTAGGCGATGCTGATACAGAAGGTAATAAAGGGGGGAAAATTCAAGTATGCCTTTCTTTCTCCTTGCTCATTGTCCCATTCATCTTTGTCCTCCTAGAGGTAGCTGGGATGCTAATAGTAGACTTACCTTTGAGGGTAGAAATTTCAGTGAGTTTTCTTCTTATATAAATTTTTGTGTGTTTTCCTAACTTCCTCTAAAGCACTGATAGTACTTTGGAATAGAAAGAGATATGAATAGAGAAGTTATGTTATTTTAGATGAATTTTTAAGCTCTTTATTGATGATAAATATGCACACTTGCAGAGTACATGAGTATACACAAGTATACAATGAATTTTCACAAACCAAACACACCAATGTTACCATGACACATATCAAAAAAAAAAAAAAAAGGAACTTTACCAGCACCTTGCCAACTGGTTGAAGCAAATTTACATGCCCATGAGCAGTATTTGAGAGCTGTAGTTGCTCCACATTCTCACCAACATTTGGTATTTTTCACGTTAGTTTAAATAACTTTTCATCTTGAAGACTTTTAAAATTATGAAACACACACACAGAGAAGAATGTATAAAGCATATTACAACTTAGTAAAAAAATAAATAAAAAGATCACATATGTACCCTGTGTTGGGTGGCTCTGGTACTGTCTTCAGATTTGGTGCTTTGTTACACATTCATAGTTTATGTAACAGTGAAAAGATCCAAAGCACAATTAGCAAAGGTGAAGTCCAGAGGAAAGCAGGCCACGTGCTTCCCTRAGTACTCTCCCCCTGGGGTCACAGGGCAAACTTGATTCCCCCAGCGGTAAATTCTGATGGCATATGTGAAGTATTGTCTATCAAGGAAATCATTAGAGACTCAGTGCCCAAGGCTTTTGCTGGTTATGTAGGCACCTGCTTAACATGTTTTAAGTTCCAGACTTTGAGAGAAAAGTGAACACTCTTAAGTGTTCATCATAAGCCACATTATACAATTTAGGCACATTGAACCATTCTTATTGGTTGTGAGGATGATAGAAATTCTTCCAAATTCTATCTTCTAGACACAAACATGAGCCATACTTACAAACAAGCCTTCTAAGGGTAACAGGACTATACATGCTATATTTACTTTTTTCTGCACATACCCATTTCTACATTAAGATATAAAGTATTATCAGGAGCTTTGGAGCCTTCTAAGTGTTTATCACACTTAAATTGAATAGCCAGCACAAAGCTAAAGCTGTGTAAAGATTGGGTGGTATTGCTCCTATTCAGTGAATGCTCTAGAAGAAGATGAGCTCTCGAGTGCTACCCGAGACTTGACCTGGAAATCTCACAAGGGAACCCTGTGTCGGATGGTTGTAATACTGTCTTTGGATTTGGTGCTTTGTTAGATTCAGCATTCCAGGGAATTTACAAGAGCCTTTTCTGGGAAAACKAATGAATATGATCACAGGTGACTTATGAAAATAAAAGGCTTATCGCAATCAGAGTTTCTGGCAGTCCTCTAGTGGACGGATGTGGATCTCCTCCCAAATGATGTCAGGGAGTGGGCTGCTTCTGAGGAACCCAGAGCCAGCCCTAAGGAAGAAGTTCAGTGAAGCACAGCTGTGGGAAGAAATGCATGTCTTCAACGAGGCTTGGCACCAGGAGCTGATGACCAAGACAAGAACAGATAAAATTCAGCCCCAACTCCCCAGAGTGTTCTATAGTTTGTTTAACAAGAGGCTGTGTTCAGCGGTGGCCAGTATCTTGTTGGCAGTAGTCAGCGTTTCTCCTTCCTGGATCACTTTGCTCCTGACTGGACTGGTTGCACTCTGTGTCTGGTGTCTGGTTCTTGAATGGGAATCTTCTTTCATCATCATCTGGGCTTTCCTTCACCACTTTCTTGAATATTTAGTTTCTTGTAGCAAAAAGATCACTGAAACTAAAACAGAATCGGGTGTCAGGTTTGAGCCAGGACTTGCAGATTCCTGACCATGAGTAAGTCACTGAACTCTAATCTTCCCATTTTCATGAATAAATGAAGATAACATCCCATCTCCTTTATGTAGTTGTTAGCATCAAATGAGGTAGTTTATGAAAATAGCTAAAGCCTATAAAAATTATTTTTCTACTAAGATTAAAAATTGACTTGAAAGTTTTCGATGTAAGGAGCTGTCAGAAGTTACTGAGGATAAAAGGCTGAACTAGATAAGATTTTCCACCAGAGTTGGCCTTCATGCTTTCATTTGAGGGAATTGTTGAGAATTTTAAGAAAAAGAGAGAGAGATGGTGAGGGAAGAAAGAAAACTACAACCATGGCCCCAGTCAGGCTATTCAAGCTAAGAATAATTTTTACATTTTAAAATGGCTACATTTTTAATGGCTATGTAAATATCTACACAATATTTTTTTTATCTTTTCCGTTGGCTCCCAAAACCTGAAGAATTTACTAACTTTTTAAAAAAGTCCTCTCCTGGGAAAAGAATACATCATAAACTATATTTGCTGTGTATCTGTGCTTAAAGGAAGGAGGGAGAGAGTGTGTGTGATATAGAATCTGGTGATGTGAATAATATTTCTTACTGTGTGTGTATTCTAAAGTTGGAAAGCCACCGTGGACAAGATGACCATGTTTTCAGTTTCATGATTATGTCACTTCTTTTTTTTTCTTTTTTTAGAATGAATTGTCAGATGGATTAAACAAAAAACGTTTACAAATCTTATTAAAAGGCTATGGCGAATATCCAACAAAATACAGGTAAAGTTCTAAATCTTTTATTGTTAAATCATTTTTAAAATTTCAAAATTTTCAAAAAAAATTATTTAAAAATGTATTTTAATTTCAGAATGTTCATTTGGCGTGCTCTACTACAACTGCCGGAAAATCATACAGCATTTAGTAGCCTAATAGATAAAGGTATTCATGAGGCATTTATCAACCTTCAGAAGCAATACCCCATCAAAAGTAGGAAACTACTCAGAGTATTACAGAGGTATGTTCTGAAGATTGCAGAAATATATGTATATATAAAACCTGTAACTCAAAACTGCAATGTTTTAAAATCCTCCCTTTGTATTGTTCAGTCAGCTTTGATTAGCCTGTGTTACATACTAGTAAAAATAAAACAGATATATATTATATATGAAAATTAGTTTGCATTGTGTTCTAGAAAATAGGAATCTTTCAAATGATCTTCAGGAACAGAGCTGCATGGTAGAAAGAGTTTTGAATTTGGAGGCAAAACACCCAGTTTTAAGTCCTTGTTCCACCACTTGACAACTGTGATGTAGGAGATGCTATTTTACTTCTCACCTTTCAGTTATCTGAAAATGGGTCTAACAATACCAACATCATAAGATTATTGGAGTAATTAGATGAGAACCTCTTTTAGAATGCTTATGCTAGTGTATATTTCATATTAAGTACTCAACAAATATCAATAATAGAACATAACCCTTTAAAGTACTTCTCATGTTTTAAGCACTACAAATATATATACTTAACTTATTTTACAGATAAAAAAAAAAACATAGAAGCATAGGGGCTAGGGCTAGGGCTTAGCAGTAGAGCACTCCCTCGCACGTGCAAGGCCCTGGGTTCGATCCTCAGCACCACATATATATAAAAAGATAGATAGATAGATAGATAGATAGAGCGATAGAGAGATAGAGCAAGCAAGCAAGGATGGAGAAGTTAGGAAATATGACCCAGTCATGTAAGTGCAGAGTCCAAGACTTACTAAATTAAGCTTTTGTTATAAAAAGTTGTAAGCATAAGTATGCATAGGAATATAAGGAATATTCTCAGTGGGGCCTGTCACCCAGCTCAGTAGCTGCCCATTCAGGCGATTCTTATTGTGTTAGTACTTCCACTCACTCCACACCCCTCTCACACCACCTGCCTTGTGGTCAATTCACTTTCACACACCCTACTAAATAGTTATACACATATCTCTAAAGGATAGGGGCTCCTTTAAGATAAGCAAGCACTTTACCTTTTTATCACACCAAAAAAAAGAATTAACAATAATTCTTTAGTATCCTTAAGTACCCCATCATCTTTTCCATTACTCTGATTGTCTTAGGAAATTTTTTATGGTAAATCAGGGTCCAAACAAGGTGCACACATTTTTAAGATTTGTTTTAATCTACCAATTCTGATTCCTTCTTTTTTTTCGATTTAGTTGTTGAAGAAACCAGGAATTAACTTACAATATGAATTGTCCATATTTTGGAATTTTCTGATTTGTTCCCATGGTGTTATTTACCATGTTCCTTTTTGTCCTGAATTTACTATAAAGTGATAATCAAGCTAGGGTCCTGCTCTGGTACAAGATTTTTATTTTTTACCCTTTGGTGTTTGTTTTTTTGTTTTTCAAGAAAACTTTGTAGGTGGCCTTATGTACATCTGTTAGGAAGTTTACTGATTGTCTCTCTTTTGGAGCTGTTAATGGTTATTAATGATCATCCAATAGGCCTGTTACTTCCCCAGAGATCAGCAAAACATTGACAAAATCTAGTTCTACCATTTCTTCTCTTTTTATGAACTGGGAAATTTTTTAAATATTTTTTTTTAGTTGTAGTTGGACACAACATCTTTATTTCATTTATTTTTGTGTGGTGCTAAGGATTGAACCCAGTGTCTTGCATGTGCTAGGCGAGCACTCTACTGCTGAGCCACAATCCCAGACCCTAAACTGGGAAATTTTTTAAAGGAAAATTTCTGTTATTTGGCTACTCTGGGATAGAATCCACATAGGAAAGGCAGGTTAATGCATAGTACTTTTTTAAAAATTTATTTATCAGTTTTCCAAATACTAAATTGATTATCTTAAAACCTCACCCCAGGTGCTGGGGTGTGGCTCAGCAGTAGAGCGCTCACCTAGTACATACGAGGTGCTGGGTTCAATCCTCAGCACCACATAAAATAAATAAATAAAATAAAGGTTAAAAACAACAACAATACATGCAAGGCAAACACTGTACCAACTGAGCTACAACCTCAGACTCTATTTTTGTGATTTTTAAATACAAAAATTATTTCAAAATACAAAGTTTAAAAGAAACCTTAAAGGTATTAGAAGTAAATATTGKAGAATTATAATCCAAAGTATAATAAGCTTGACAAAAAATTAGACAATAAGATAACAAATAACCCAATCAACAAATGGGCCAAGGACCTGAACAGACACTTCTCAGAGGAGGACATACAATCAATCAACAAGTACATGAAAAAATGCTCACCATCDCTAGCAGTCAGAGAAATGCAAATCAAAACCACCCTAAGATACCATCTCACTCCAGTAAGATTGGCAGCCACTATGAAGTCAAACAACAACAAGTGCTGGCGAGGATGTGGAGAAAAGGGTACACTTGTACATTGCTGGTGGGACTGCAAATTGGTGCCGCCAATTTGGAAAGCAGTATGGAGATTCCTGGGAAAGCTGGGAATGGAACCACCATTTGACCCTGCTATTGCCCTTTTTGAGTATGCCCTGAAGACCTTAAAAGAGCATGCTACAGGGATACTGCCACATCGATGTTCATAGCAGCACAATTCACAATAGCTAGACTGTGGAACCAACCCAGATGCCCTTCAATAGATGAATGGATAAAAAAAAATGTGGCATTTATACACCATGGAATATTACGCAGCACTAAAAAATGACAAAATCATGGAATTTGCAGGGAAATGGATGGCACTAGAACAGATTATGCTAAGTGAAGCTAGCCAATCCCTAAAAAACAAATACCAAATGTCTTCTTTGATATAATGAGAGCAACTAAGAACAGAGCAGGGAGGAAGCAGGAAGAAAAGATTAACTTTAAACAGAGACATGAGGTGGGAGGGAAAGGGAGAGAAAAGGGAAATTGCATGGAAATGAAGGGAGACCCTCATTGCTATACAAAATTACATATAAGAGGTTGTGAGGGGAATGGGAAAATAAACAAGGAGAGAAATGAGTTACAGTAGATGGGGTAGAGAGAGAAGATGGGAGGGGAGGGGAGGGGGGATAGTAGGGGATAGGAAAGGTAGCAGAATACAACAGTTACTAATAGGGCATTATGTAAAAATGTGGATGTGTAACCGATGTGATTCTGCAATCTGCATTTGGGGTAAAAATTGGGAGTTCATAACCCACTTGAATCTAATGTATGAAATATGATATGTCAAGAGCTATGTAATGTTGTGAACAACCAATAAAAAAATAAAAAATAAAAAAATAAGCTTGACATATCAAAAAGAGATTGATATGAATATAATATCTCAACATGTGAAAAAAATTTCTACACAAAGACATGAAATGGAGAAAATACAGGTAAAACATGACAGATGAAAGGCTCATTTCTCTAACATATGAAGTATTCATATAAATAATTGTGAAAAAAACTGATCAATGAAAAATAGATAAAGAATTTAACATACAGATCACAGCACTGGAAATCGTTCTTAAACATGAAAAGATGCTGCTGATCTTCCTCATAATAAAAGTGTCATTTCTCACCTAGAAATAAATGGTTGATAATAAATTATGTTGACAAGAGTATGAGAAAACAGGCATCCTTTTACACAAGTGATGGGAATGTAAGTACTTTTGTGGATGACAATTTGGTAGTGGTTGTGGATTTTTTTTTTAAACTGGGAGTTAATTCAGGAGCACTTTACCACTAAATTACATCCTCTGCCATTTTTATTTATTTGACTTTTATTTTTAGGGTCTCACTAAGTTGGTGAGACTGGCCTCCAATTTATAATCCTTCTGCCTCAGCTTCCAAGTCACTGGTGTTACAGCCATGACCCACTGTGCCTGGTCTGGCTATTGAAATTACAAACACACATATCCTTTGACCCATCAATTCCACTTCTGGGAATTTATCCAAATTTGTAATACCACATGAAGAATGATGGACATATACTCATACTCAGCACAGCATTGTTTATAAAAGATTAGGAGACTCTTAAAGGCCCAAGAATGGGGATCATTAAAAAAAAAAAAGTGCCTGTGCAAAGCTCTCATTCAACTATAAAACATTATGAGGCTGTTGCTGTACATTTACTGATATTAACTATTTCCAACAGATTATTAGTTGTAAAATGCAAGGTACAGAACAATGTTTATAATATACCATGATTTGTGCTTTTAAAAAGAGGTTTTATAATTAAATTGCTTTAGAGGAAAGGATCTAGATGATAGGTAAAAGGAACAATTTTCACCAGATATACCTTCTGTATTGAAATTTTTATCATGTGACGGTATTTTTTATTCACAAATTTTAATGACATTATTGTTTTCTGGTCTTTATTATTTTATTCACAGAACCCTGTCTGCTTTAGCTCATTGGTCTGCCATCTTTAGTGACACACCCTATCTTCCACTTTTGGCATTTCCGTTTGTAAAATTATTCCAGAACAACCAGCTTATCTGTTTTGAAGTCGTTGCTACTCTCATAAGTAAGTAGATAATGATTACAGAATGAACCAAGAATGAATTCTTGAAACATTTTCCTGATGATTTGGCACCTTTGTGACACCTAACAACAATCCTAGATTTCTCTACTTTTTTAAGTCAGGAAAGTGTGGAACAATCAGGTTTTACACAAAGTGGACATTTCAAACATGTAATGGAATATTACTCAGCAATAAACGAGAATAAAATCATGGCATTTGCAGGTAAATGGATACAGTTGGAGAAGATAATGCTAAGTAAAGTTAGCCCATCCCAAAAATACAAATGACGAATGTTTTCTCTGATATAAGGTGACTGACTCATAACTCATAGTGGGGTAGGGAGGGGGGACATGGGAGGAATAGACGAACTCTAGGTAGGACAGAGGGGTGGGAGGGGGCAGGGGTTAGGAATGATGGTGGAATGTAATGGACATCATTATCCAAAGTACATATATGAAGACATGAATTGGTGTAAACATACTTTATATACAAACAGAGATATGAAAAATTATGTTCTATATGTGTAATAAGAATAGTGATGCATTCCGATGTCATGTATTTAAAAAATAAAAGCAATTAAATAAAAAAAAAAAACATTTTATTTACAGGAAAATTTGGGCTAGGAGCCGTGGTACACACCTGTAATACCAGAAGCTCCAGAGGCTGAGGCTGGAGGATCATGAGTTCAAACCAGTCTCAGCAAAGGCAAGGTGCTAAGCTACTTAGTGAGGCCTTGTCTCTAAATAAAATACAAAATAGGGCTGAGGATGTGGCTCAGTGGTCGAATGCCCCTGAGTTCAATCCCTCATACAACCACCACCACCACCCGCCAAAAAAAGGGGAAATTTGGGTGGATAAATTTTAGAAGATATTCATACTGGATTTGGTTGTGAAGAAAGAAGCAGATCCTCCACTTACTGAAAGGCAGTTATTCTTCATTGGATTGATGAGTTTGTAAAGCACTTTGCACACAGTGCCTGTTGTTTATCTTCGTCATCTGTGGCTAACATTTATTTGAGCTCTTTCTGTGTACCAGACACTGTTCTCAGGTGCCTGATGTGTAGATCAAAGATGTTTTACTTTGTTCATGCATTTAATCTTTACAATAATTCTATTTGGTAGATATTACCTCCTTTTTACAAATGAGGAGACTGAAACACAGAGTACTTAGGTTATCATCCAAGGTTAGTTTGGTGGCAGCAAGCATCTGACCCAGGCAGTCATAATCCATAATCTGCTGCCATTAAGGTCATTGCCCACCACCATCATCTATGCCAGCAAATGGGTCATTATTTTCATATTAGTAAAATCATGTCTGTTAAATTGGATTAAATTAAATTAAATTAAAATTCAAGCATACATATTATAATTCCCTCCATACTTTTTTATTACATTGTACTTATTTTGATAATATTTTTTTTGATCATTAGAGAAAGTATGCAGAAGAAAATTCAGTATTTTTCCTCTCCAGAAACAATCTTTGGTAATATATTGATAAATTTCTTATGGGTATTTCCTTCCAAATTTCTACATATGCTTGGAAAGCATTATTTATTGCCTGTATAATATAATATTTCAACTTATAGGTATACCATAACTTATTTACCTTTCTACTTTTTCTGTGCTTTTAAGCAATTTGTTATTTAATCATGGTTTTATTTAATATTTAATATTGTGTAAATTTCCTAATTTTTATAAATTTCTTAGGTGTTTTTATTGATTGTAATATTTCATAGTGTGCATATACTAGCATAATTCATTTTTAAAAAAAAGAAACATAATTTAAGTAAGTATACAAGCCTATATGCTCATTTCCAGTAACACACACACACACACACACACACACACACACACACAAGTGTGCTATGCCAATAGCATAGATTGCCACCCTGTGTCTTTACATGTCAGGTTTTGTTTTGTTTTTGGTGTCAGGGATTGAACCCAGGATCATTTTACCACTGAGCCACACCCCCAGCCCTTTTTATTTTTTTATTTTGAGACAGGGTCTCACTAAGTTGCTTAGGGCCTTACTAAGTTGCTGAGGCTGGACTTGAATTTGCTATCTTTCTGTCTCAACCTCCTAGTCACTGGGATTACAAAAGGCACAATAGTGCCTGGCCATAGTGTCAGTATTTATTGAATGGCTTTTCATAGATTCTCAAAGTACATCAGTTTCATTGACTTTATTTCACTAAGTCTTCCTGGTTTCACTTGTTAACCACAAACTTTTTATTCCTTTCCAATGAAATGACTTATATGTATGGCACTCACATTATATATCATACTTCACACAATTATATATCTGTAGGTTACCAAAAAAGCTGAAGAATGGTAAAGAGGTCTTAGGATTTAAAGAGGCAATGTAAAGAGTCAATATAAATGCAAAGAGTTATTGCAGGTGGTTAATTTTGGGGCTAAATAGAACTCTGACTTTATTTGTGTCTGTGTGTGTCATATGTCTTTTGTGGTGGTACTAAAGTGGAATAAAAATACTTAGGGCAAATGGTTAATGTAGATAGGATTTTCTCTTGTTTGAAAACAGTATTCTATTAATGTTACAGGGAGGATAAGGGCTTTGTGTGTGTTGTGACATAGAGTGACATTGTAGTGTCTGAGACATAAAAGGTACTTGGTAAAATGCTGCTGAACCCAATTTTCCTTTTTAAATTAACTTATTTTAAAACAGCAATTTAGGGCTGGGGATGTGGCTCAAGCGGTAGCGTGCTCGCCTGGCATGCGTGCGGCCCGGGTTCGATCCTCAGCACCACATACCAACAAAGATGTTGTGTCCGCCAAAAACTAAAAAATAAATATTAAAAATTCTCTCTCTCTCTCTTCCTCTCTCTCCCCCTCTTTCTCACTCTCGCTTTAAAAAAAAACAATAAAACAGCAATTTAGAGAAATTGAAATATTTCTTTTCAAACTTAGTCTTTGGAAGATTTTATTTATGACTTAATCATCTAGCTCACATTTAAATGCTCAATAATATAATAAAACCCAAAATTAGAAAGTCCCTACAAACCACTTGTAATACAATATTCTGTTAATAAAGACTTCTTTTGCTAATTTTAAATAGGAGAGCTTACTATCAAAGGATGAAACTACAACTCAATACAGGTTGAACATTCCTAATCTGAAAATTCTAAATTCAGAAACTAAAATTTTGAGTGTCAACATGACACTTTCAGATTTTCAGATTTTGGAGCAGAACTTTGGGATTAAGGATGCTCACCTGGTAAAGTTTTGCAAATATTCCAAAACCCAAAAAACTCTGAAATCTGAAACACTTTTGGTCCCAGACATTTCAGATAGGGGAGACTCAGCCTGTATTTAAAATTAAAAAGCAGAATTTATATATATATTTTATATATTTAATTATATAAATTATATAATTTAATTAATACAGTTGAAGAACCCTGACTTTATATGTGTCTGTATGGCTTTGGAACTTACAGTCCAGATGGTGCCTAGAAGAAAATTTGAAAGCAAACAGTCACTTCTCTGAATTATTTGGAATACATAGACTCTTCATACCATCCTTTCTCTTTACTCTGCTATGTGTCTTTGTGGCTTTGGAACTTACAGTCCAGAGGGAAGGGGAGGGAGTGTGGGGACAGGAAAGATGGTGGAATGAGATGGACATCATTACCCTAGGTATGTGTATGACTACAAATATGGTACAACACTACGTCATGTGCAGAGAAATGAAAAGTTGTGCTGCATTTGTGAACGATGAATCAAAATGCATTCTGCTGTCATATATACCTAATAAAAATCAATTAATTAATTTTAAAAAAAGAATTTAATATGGGGCTGGGGTTGTGGCTTAGCGATAGAGTGCTTGCCTTGCACATGCAAGGTCCTGGGTTCGATCCTCAGCACCACATAAAAATAAATAAATAAATAAATAAAGGTAATATAAATAAATAAATAAATAAAGGTATTGTGTCCAACTACCACTAAAAAAATTTTTTAAAGTGTGTGTGTGTGTATATAATATATATATATTCATATATATGAATTAATATCTAAAGGACAGTTGAAGCATTAAGCAAAACCAACCAATTATCTTTCTTTTTTTTTTTTAAGCAGATGTTTCTTTTTTTAGAGAGAGAGAGAGAGAATTTTCAATATATAGTTTTCGGCGGACACAATATCTTTGTTGGTATGTGGTGCTGAGGATCGAACCCGGGCCGCACGCATGCCAGGCGAGCGCGCTACCGCTTGAGCCACATCCCCAGCCCAACAATTATCTTTTGAGAAGACCTTTTTTTGCTGGCTACACTGATTACACAGGGCAGTGAGTTTAAGTCAGCTTTAGAAACCTTTTCAGTGAAATGGAGTCTAATTTGGACTAGCTGACTTTCAGAGAGTACTGCTGGTTGGTTATGAAATTCAGGTTTACTGAAACAAAATGTCATTGATTAATGAAATTTAAAACTAGTTCCTATGATACTTGTTATTATGGTTATAAATAATCAGTCTTTTCCTGGGAATGGGGACTTTTTAATTGTCATTTAATGGATAAAGGTTACAATATATAGACATCTGTTTTAAGTATGTGTATATGAATATGTAAGAATGTAATTGTATTTTTTCTAACTTTTTTTTTTTTTGGTACTGAAAACTTAACCCAGAGGCACTCTATCACGGAGCACATTCCCAGCCCTTTTAACCTTTTGTTTTTCCCAGCCTTTTCAGTCTTTTGTTTTGAGATACTAATTGGCTGAGGCTGGCCTCAAGCAAATCCTCCTTCCAGGGAGTTGGAATTATAGGCACGCACTATCGCACTATCCACTATCGCACCATCACACCTGGAAAAGCTTTTCTAACTTTGATAATGCATGAATTTTAATAGATTTAAGGAGGTAGGCATATTAACACTGAGCACATTTAAGGAACACCTGCATAGGAACCTTTTATAAAAGGGATCCTTTACTCAAGAGAAGGATAAAACAGGAGGTCCCAGAAACCAGAATATCCTATATCCTGTAACGAAGATCAGAAATACCTTCGAAAGGGGCTGGAGTTATAGATCAGTGATAGAATGCTTGCCTGGCATGTGTGAGGCCCTGGGTTTGATCCTCAGCACCACATATAAATAAATAAAGTAGATAAAATAAAAAGGTCCATTGACAACTAAAATATTATATATATATATATATATATATATATATATATATTTTTTTTTTTTTTTTTTAAAGAAAGAATTACCTTGGAAAGGTATGTGTGTGTGTGTGTGTGTGTGTGTTCTAATTGACACATTTTCATTTACTACTCTGAAAAAGTTTGCACCTAAGATTCTATTTTAACATAGAATTTTAAAAATCACTTATTCTAAGAACACATGTAAAAGGTTATGTTTTTATTCATGGATATATTGAGGACAGAAAGAGTGGATACATTTAAGAGTTATAAAGACCTTCGATAATATAGAAAAGTATTTAAAGATGCATTTTCTGTTTTTCCTTTTCCTTTGTAGTCAATTGGTGTCAACACTGGTTTGAATACTTTCCTAATCCTCCTATCAATATTCTTAGTATAATAGAAAACATTTTAGCATTTCATGACAAGGAACTGCTGCAGCACTTCATAGCTCATGATATAACATCTCAGGTAAGAGGTATACAAGTTTTAGAATAATATAACTTATTTGAGGAGTTAACGTTGATTCTGGTATAAATGGAACTGTATTTTTGTGAAGGCATATAATAAAAAGCATAGTAAGCCAGGTGCAGTGGCCTACACCTGTAATCCTAGCTAGTTGGGGGTGGTCTAAGACCTATCTCAAAGTAAAAAATAAAAAGTGGTGGGGATGTAGCTCAATGATAGAGCACCTCTGGGCTCAATCCTCAGTACTTCAAAAAATAAAACAGTAAACCATTATTTCTATTTAAACTGCCTTCCTTAAAGTTTACGAAGAGGTAGTTTTTTTCATAATTTTGTATTTAATATAATTATTTTCATAGCTTGAATATCAGAGAATATTATCAATGACTTCATTTTGATTTTTCATTAGAAAACTAATGAATTTTTTCCACATTTATTTTAGCTGTATGCTTGGCCTCTTCTTGAAACTGTGTTCTCAGAAGTACTGACAAGAGAGGAATGGCTCAAATTATTTGACAACGTCTTTTCCAACCATCCCTCCTTTCTGCTGATGACTGTGGTAGCCTACAACATATGTTCTAGAGCTCCTTTGCTCAATTGTACTCTTAAGGATGATTTTGAGGTAAATATCTGTTCTTAAGAGAAGGTTTTCAAATTTTAACTATTTCAGTTGAAAAATATAATTGAGCACCTACTACTGTATGTCAGGCTGTGGTGCTAGGTGGCAGGAATACAATGGAAAACAAGTTGGACTGCATCCCTGTAGTTTGTATGTGATTAAACAATGACAGCAGGCTCTGAGTCTTACAGTCATGGTGTCAGAAGAAAATTATGATAACATTGGGGTTTTGTGCTTATATTTATTTTTCTTTAATTAAAAAAAATCAGCACTGGGGATTGAGTTTATGAGCAGGCAAGTGTTCTGCTACTAAGCTACAGCCCCTGGCTGTGATTTTTTTTTCTTTTTCTTTTTTTATTTTTTTTTTAGCCTTTGTAAAAGATGTTGACCACTTCAGTAGTCAATTATTCTGTAATGATATTATCAGTGACCTATCTGACTAGTGGTGGTTGGGATGCTTATTACACATGCAAAATGGTGACTGAGGGTCCAGGGGCTTGGTAGGAAAGTGCCTGAAAGAAGGCATTGGAAGTGGGTTGGTTTTTTAAAATAGTTTAATATACTTTAATAGTAAACTTTATAAGATAGACGATATAAAAAATGTATTTTCATGTAGGACAATTTAGAAAATATAGTGAATAGATGGAATCTACCACATGATAAAAATGCTGTAAACACCATTTAGTTGTTGTCAGTAAGACATTGACTTAAAAAAAAATGAAAATCTGAATGTGGGCATTGTACAGAATGGAGGTGGTTTTAAAAAGGAGAGTCTCTTTTGGTGGATTGTATGAATTCGTTCAGGTTTTTGTGTGTGTTTGTAACCGATTTTGTGATTTCTACCAAATTAAACTTTACTTTTACTTTTTGGTTACATAGTACACACATATGTATTTTAGAAATTGGATCTGCCAGAACAAGATAATATAGAACTATTTCAGATATCTTTAAGCCACCCAACTAATTTATTTTCTAATATATTTATTTTGGATTTTGAATTTCTAAAAATCCAAACAGTGGAAGTGGTCTCATTTGTTAAAGCATTCTTTTTCTACTATAATGAAAGTCTTCATATTCAGTTAAAATGTAAACTGTTTGATTTCAAAATTTCATAATATAGTTGTGGCATCTTATTATATTTTGAAAATACAAAATTGAATCTTTATTTTAAAACTTGGATTAAGAAAGCCTTCAGTGAATTTCCAAAAAAAAAAAAAATTTAAATTCACATTTATATTTCTGAAATCTTGTTTTAACTCTGCCTCAAAATTGTTTTGTTAGGTAAATCTTGATTTAAACATCAAATTTTCTTACAGTATTTTTTTCACCATCGGAATAACCTGGATATAAATGTTGTGATTAGAGAAGTTTATCATCTCATGGAAACCACGCCTGCTCACATTCACCCAGACAATGTGCTGGATGTTTTTGTTGCACTGACAAAAGGACAATATCCAATATTTAATCAATATCCAAAGTTTATTGTGGACTATCAGACACAGGAACGAGAACGAATAAGGAAAGATGAATTGGATTACTTGAGAGAGAGGTAATAATGAAATACTTGTTCTTTGATAGAAATGAAATCTGTTATAAATATAAGCCAGAAAATTTTTAATGAAAAATCTATTAAATTTTAAGTATTTTTGCAGAATCAAAGTTTGAAGGCTGGAGGTATCTTTAAACATTTAATTCTTGATCTGGAAGTAAAATCAGTTACTGCATATTAATCAAGTATACATTTTGTGTTTTGATTGTCTTTGGACTAAATCACTAAGCTTTCTTGTTTGTGTTTTCATAATAATAAATATTGTCTCCTTAAGGCAGGCAGTTGAAGATATGCATGCTGAAGTGGACCAGCAAAGAATCAAAGATGAAGCATGGTACCAGAAACAAGAGCTGCTCCGTAAAGCTGAAGAAACAAGAAGAGAAATGCTCTTGCAAGAGGAGGAAAAGATGATGCAGCAAAGACAGAGGTATGTTTGCATCTGAAAAAAAACTATGCACATGAGTCAGTTGAATAACTTTTCTTTTCTTCCATTTCTTATATAGGAACAATGCTATATGCAGAATTATCATATTATTATTTAGTTTCCATTAAGCAAATGTGTAAGTTAATAAAAAAATTTATACCACCTTTCAAAAAAGGTATATAATAAAATATAATTTTAAAGCTATGCTGAATATGATATAACTTTGCACTGATTACTCAGAATTCATATGAGATCTAATGTACCTTGAAGAAAATTACCTAGAAACATTACAGTAGGCAGAAATGCTTTGTAATAGAATACTGGGTAAATCACATTAGGTGGAGTATAATTGTATAATTTTTTTTCAATTTTTTTTATAGAGGGACACAATATCTGTATTTTGTTTATTTATTTTTATGTGATGCTGAGGATCGAACCCAGTACCTCACATGTGCAAGGCAAGCACTTTGCCAGTGAGCCACAACCCCAGCCCCTGGAGTATAATTTTTTAAATTGTGTTTTGAACATAAGTATGTGACCTGACAATTGAAACATAAAATAATTCTCATTATTCATCTAATGATTTGKAGAACAAGGGAAGAAATATTAAATGCTTTTTCAGGGGTATGTTAATGAGGTAAAAATGTTTAATTACGATTATTGGATAAACAATTAGACTAAGCCTGTTTGGAAACTTGTTTCTGTGTTTATTGATTTTTATTTTGGGGTGAAACTTTATGAAACAAAATTCTATGTTAAAAGGAATTACAGAACTGAGCTTTTAGCATTCTATTAAAATTCTAAAAGAATAAGCATACGTCACGTTTGGTAACATTGGAGTATTTTTTGGCATTTTTCCTTCATATAAAGTTTATTAGATCATGTTGAAACAATCTAACTGGTAAACCTGTTCGAAATGTGTGAGAAGGATAGCCCATTGTGTGAGGGCCATTTATCATCTACATGCAGACATGTGGACTTGTATAGTTGGGCATTGTTCATTTATGTGTTATAAACACCGTTGTGTTACCATGGTACCAGTTAAATGGGCAAGTGGCATCAAAATAAGTTGCAGGTTGTTATTGTGAAAAAATTAAGTCTGTATTGGGAAATGTTCCCTTTGATGTATTTTGTACCTAAGATTAGCTGCTGTGAAAAGAGAGCTGAAGATAAAGGAATTATACTTACAAGATGCTGCTAGAAGGCGTTTTCTGAAGCTTCAGCAAGATCAACGTGAAATGGAACTACAAAGACTGGATGATGAAATTGAGAGAAAGGTTTAGTATTCTTTTTTTTATATATTTATTTTTTAGTTGTAGTAACTAGTCAAATTGACTAGTATTCTTGATGACTATTTCTCCAAAATAAAAATGTATCCATATCAGTTAATCATGAAGTTAATTGTGATTGGGGAAAGATTCCTTTTTAATGTAAATATTTATGTATCATCAATGTAGGATTTTCAGTATAAAATATATAGAGTTAAAAATGGACCTTTTCCATGCTTCATCTTTTCATCTTCAGAGATAAACTGTTAAAAAATAAATTGATTGCACAACTTTTTGGGTCTGTTTCTATACATGAAAAGTAATTACACTTATATTTTTTAAAAAATGGGATTATTTTCCCTACAACTTGTTTTTATACCATGCCTTTAAAAATGATATATGTTGAATATCTTTTCCTATTGCTGTATTTCTCTTTTTTTGTGTGTGTGATTGCTACTATTTCTTTTTTTAAGTATTTAACATCTCTTTTTCTTTTTAATATCGTTATTTATTTATTTATTTATGTGATGCTGAGGACCGAACCCAGTGCCTCTTGCATGTGAGGCAAGCGCTCAACCACTGAGCCACAACCCCAGCCTACTATTGCTACTATTTCATTGATGAATGTACCATAGTTTCTTTAATCCTTTGCTATTGGGCATTTAGGTTATTTGCAATGTTTCTTTTACAAAACTGTGCTACATTGTACATTTTTCCACATGAAAGCAGCTTAAGATATTTTAATCTTTAGCTTAAATTTCCATGCCCCAAATTAAGTTTTATAGTATTTTAAGTATTTCTGTTTTTTAGTTGGGAAGTACTGGGGATTGAACTCAGGGGCACTCGACCACTGAGCCACATCCCCAGCTCTAGTTTGTATTGTATTTAGAGACAGGGTCTCACTGAGTTTCTTAGCATCTCCCTTCTTTGCTGAGACTGGCTTTGAACTCGACATCCTCCTGCCTCAGCCTTAAGCATTTCTAGTAAGAAGAAAAAAAATGAAATTAATTTTAATTATCTTAATTTTACTTATTTTAATTATTCCACTCAGTATGTTTGTACATCAATACTTCAGTATTCAACTGGTATAAAAACATTTTTGGTGGACTATTTGTTTACTTTTTTTGTACTAAGGCTTTGAAATCCACTATTCATTTTACACTTAACAGAACACCACAATTGGGACAAGTCACATTTTAAAAGTTCAACAACCAACAGCTAGTGGCTGCTTATACAGTGTAGGTTGGGGAAAACTAACCTGTTTGTCTGTTGAGGCCAGCCTCAGCAATTTAGTGAGGCTCTAAGCAACTTAGTAAAACCCTCTCTCAAATTAAAAAGTAAAACAGGCTAGGGATGTAGCACAGTGGTAAAGGGCCCCTGAGGATTCAATCCATAGTACCAATAAACAAACAAATAAATAAATAAAGTAAAAATCAGTAGGTCTGGGGATATAGCTCAGTTTTAGAACACTTGTCTGGCAATGTGTGTGGCCCTGGATTCAGTCCCTAGTACTAGAAAAACGAAAGAAAAGCAGAAGTAAAACTCAGACAATGGCATTTCATGATATTACATTTTTAAAAATATATATGAATTTCAGACTTCAGGGTCTATAGATGAAATTTTATTGGAACATTGGTGCATCCATTTGTTTCCATATTGTCTGTGGATGCATTTGTACTACGATGGCAGAGGCCAGTGATTGTGACAAAAACCTAATGACCCACAAAGCCTAAAGGATTTACTATCTGGCTCTGAACAGAAAAAAATTGCCAACCCCTAGTTTGTCTGAAAATTGAGTGTAAGGTATGAGTTATTTTAAGCTTTTTTCTGTGCAAAAGGCTCATCCCTTGTCCCAGCACTGTCGAATGTTAGTAGTCATCTGCCAATGGTTATTACATATTGAATTCCCTCATGTAGTTGACCTTCTCTCTTGCTCTGCCTGTTCCTAAGTCAGTGCCATGCAGTTTCAATGTGTAATAATTGTGATGCTCTACTACCTAGGCCTGATTCCCACTCATCAGTCTTCCTTTTCAAGAGTTTCTTCAGTATTCCTAGATGTTTAGCATTCCAAACAGACTGAGAATTTTATCACACTCTGAATCCCCATCTCCCCACATCCTATTGAAATTTTTATTAGGATTACACTGAATTTAATTTACTTTAGGAAATTTCAAACTTGTTTTTTATAAAATACTAAATATTTTTAAGTCTTTGGGACTATTTTTAATTCATCTGTGTTCAAAATCTATTTTCTCTTTTTTTATAGCATAATACTTTTGTTTAAAGCTAATTTTAAAAAATTACTTAGGGCCACACTAAATTGCTGAGGCTGACTTCGAACTTGAGATTCTCCTTATGATCCTCCCAAGCGGCTGGAATTACAGGCAGGCACCATGGCATCTGGCTAAAGCTAATTAATTTTTTTTCTTTTATTCCCACATTTTTATTGGAGCTAATTAATTTTTAATTGACTTTTTTTATTCTCTTATCTAGTGGATCAAATTAATATTTCATTATTCTCAAAGAGTATATGTTCTTCCCCAAAAGTAAAGCAGGCTCAGAACTCTTAAATCTTTATTTCCAGGGTTTTTTTTAATATTTATTTTTTAGCTATAGGTGGGCACAATATCTTTATTTTGTTAATATGTGGTGCTGAGGATCAAACCCAGTGCTTCACGCATGCTAGGCGAGCGCTCTACCACTGAGCCTTGGCCCCAGCCTATATTTCCAGTTCTTGAGGCGAGGCAAAGTGTTTTGTGGTCAGAGTATTTTAATGTCCTTTCAACAGCATGGTCAGGCATCCGCCGCCCTTCTAGCCCCCTACTCTGCCAGCTGCCTGTTCTAACATGCTCTCACCCTTCCCAACTGCAAACGCTCCTCTTCAACTCCAGCAGGAAAGACTGCCTAAGTCCAAAGTGACATGTATATGTGACTTCAGACATCTGTTAACAGCAAAGTGATCTGGTTTTTTTCTGGCACGTGGCTGTTTATGTCACTGAAAATTCATAAGCAGTGAGCTTCTGTAGCTGAAATCCTTAAAAGGCACACTGTACTGTGCCCGACAGCTCCTTCACCCCTTGGCTTCAGCACTGCTCTTGCCTCCTAGACTCAAGCCCCCCACCTTTGAGCCAGCTGCTTTCCCACTTACAGCCTTAAGGTGGACCAGCTTCTTTGACCCCTAGGATGTGTATTTTTGCAAGTCCCACTATATTCTCATTTTTATTGCTTCTCCTATTACATGCTATTTTATAGCATGTCTTTTAATCAACAGTATCTAACCCTCAGTAGTTGAAGGTAGTAATTCAATCATCATATGTTTGTTGAATAAATGAATGGGGGGCTGGGGTTGTGGCTCAGTGGTGGAGCACACACCTAGCACCTGTGAGACCCTGGATTCGATCCTCAGCACCACATAAAAATAAATAAGTAAAATAACGGTATTGTGTCCAACTACAACTAAAAACAATTTTTAAAAAATAATAAAAAATAAATGAATGGTGATTGACAACTGATTGGTTACAGTTTGTTGTTTTGTTTGAAATACATACAATGTATTTTATTCTCACTGCTAAAAATAATTGGGGCTTTAGGCAACCAAATAGTTAAGATAATTTCTAAGATTCTCTCAAAATATCTTATCTGAACCCTCTAGTATATAGGAGGGAAAAGCTTTCAAGAAATCCAATTCTAGAGAATGGCGAATTCTAAATGAGCTATGTCTGTCTGATCAAAACACGAGTTGAATAATCCACAGTAAAGTCCAACCTGAAGTTATTGTCAAATTGATTTATAAAAAGTATAAATCAAAAAGAACATTAAATAACCATTACATTTCATAAGATTAAACATTCTGTATTTCTGTAAACCCCAAATTTAAGTTGTTCAAGTTTTTCTAACTCAGTGTTGGTTACTGTAGCGTGGTAAAAACTGCTGCCTCTTTTTCCAGTCTATCCAAATGAGTCTATGGTAACTATGTGATCTTTTTTAAAAAATTAAGCATAACTTTAACTCAGAGATTAGTCCTAGATTCCACAGTGAATATTAACATATTATCAGTTATTCTGGTTCCTGAAACCAATTCCTGTTATTTTTTATATATATATCTTTACTTTTATTTGTTTTTATGTGGTTCTGAGGCTCGAACCCAGTACCTCACATGTGTGATGCAAGTGCTCTACCACTGAGCCACAACCCCAGTCCCAATTCCTGTTATTTTAAATACTGTCATTGAGTTTTCACTTTATAAGATTACTAAATTCCTTAGAAATGAACTTGTAAATTATTTGTAATACTTGTGTTTGTTGTTTGGCCGTAGGTACAAATGAGAGATCAAGAAATTGCTACCACAACCAAAGACCTAGAAATGAGGCAGCTGGAACTCGAATCACAAAAAAGACTTTATGAGAAGGTAGAAGTCATTTATTTCCAGTGTAAGAAAAGCAGAGTTTGTACGAACCCTTTTTAGGCTGTATTTATTCATAGTTTCTTAATGTTCATTTTAATCACTTTTGAAACAGCATATAGTGTTATCCAGGATTGTAAAGTAGCCAGAATGTCTGAATGTACAGTTTGTTGTAATTCTTTAATTCATGTTTCTGTAGCAGCTTAGCCTGGTGTCTGAAGCACCAGATGTAAGCCCCAGACATTGCCTCAGGATCTTTACCAGTTTACTAAGTTCTCCTACATTTGTGCAACTAACTGTGAAATTATCCCAATACAAGTTGATCATTCTTAATCTGAAAAGTCAAAATCTGAAGTGCTCTGATAGCCAAAACATTTGAAGTGCCAACTTGATGCTCAAAAATTTCAAATTTTGGAGCATTTTGAATTTCAGGCTTTCAGATTAAGGATGCTCAACTAGTAAAGATTATGCAGTATTTCAAACTCCTAAGAAAATTCCAAAATCAGAAATACTTCTGGCCTTGAGCATTTGGAATAAGGAATACTCACCCTGAGCCTTCCAAGGATCTTGTGAGGCAACATGGCAGTAACTGTAAAGTACTTTAAATTTAAATCTTCTGGAATTAGATCAGCAAATATTTGCTTAGAACCTACAACTCAGTTTTTATACCACTGGGGAAAGCTATGTTAACATAATTTTTATTGGGGGAAAATGTTTTGTTACTGATTTATGTTGAAACCATAGGTTTTTATTTCCTTCAGCCCCTTAAAATTAGACTTTGAGTTTAAAGTTGACTGCAGGTTCATAACAGGTAACATACACAAGATTGTTATCTACATTAATATTTAAAACAGCATCCATTATATCTGTAATACTTTTTAAGTTTCTTCTAGAACTGAACAAGGAATTTCCAGTAATTTTAAATTAGATGTAATTAACTTGGACTAAACTAGAGTTTACTTTTGCTGTCTTTCCTTTAGGAATAAGAGGTGTGTAGCAATTAGGGGACATAATTTCAGAATTAAAAGAAATTTTGCAAGAAAAATCCTAAAATTTTCAAGAAATTTTTCTCTCAGCTGGGCACAGTGGCACATGCCTATAACCAGCAGTTCTGGAAGCTGAGGCAGTAGGATCATGAGTTCAAAGCCAGTTTCAGTAACTTAGGGAGGCCCTAAACAACTCAGCGAGGCCCTGCCTCTAAATAAAATGTAAAAAAGGGCTGGGGATGTGGCTCGGTGGTAAAGCGYCCCTCAGTTCAATCACTGATACAAAAAAAAAATTTTTTTTCTCTCGGATTCTCAAATATTAATGTTTTGCTAAATTTATCTTTCCATCTGTACACATATACATATTTTCTTCTCTGAACTATTTAAGGGTAAGTTGTAAACATGACACTCCTTTACCCCTCAGCATTTCAGTATACAAGGAATCCTATTATATAGTTGCAGTATATTACCAAAACCAGGAAGTCAACATAATATTATCTGATCTATAAATACCCTTTTTCGGATTTGATCAGTTATCTCAAAAACATTCTTTAGAGCAAAAGGAAAATCTAAGATCCATATTTCCAGGTGTCTCATGTCTTCTTTACTCCTATTTAAACTCCTCCTGAGTTTCCTTTGTATGTCATGACACTCATGTTTATTGAAGTGTATAGGATAGATATGTTACAGAATGTCCCTCAGCATTTACCCATTGTGTTTTCATGGAAAGATTCTAGTGATGCACTTTGGGCAGGAATGCCACATAAGTAATGCTGAGTTGCTTTCTGAGTATCAGATTAGGAGGCAAATATTTATTAATCCCTTTTTGCTATCTTTTGAAGGAAATATTTAGTTAAGGAAACCTACAGGGTTAGAGAAGAATTAAATTAAAACTAACATAAAATCTTAAAATTTATCTGCTCATTTAGATAGATATATTGCTCTCACCTTTTTAAAAATGGCTTTAGTGACCAACACTTTACCTGCCAAATTTCTCTCTTACATACATTATACATCAATTAAATATCTATTTCCAACCGGGTGTGGTGTTGCACACCTGTAGTCCCAGCGTTTTGGGAGGCTGAGGCAGGAGGATCGCAAGTTCAAAGCCAGCCTTAGCAACAGCAAGGCGCTAATCAACTCAATGAGACCCTGTCTCTAAATAAAATACAAAATAGGGCTGGGGGTGTTGCTCAGTGGTCAAGTGCCCCTGAGTTCATTCCCCATTACTTACCCCCCAAAAAAATCTATTTCCAAAGACTTTGGGTTGGGGGGCAGGTAGAGGTGACTGGACATTGAACCTAGATATGCTTTACCACTGAGCCACATCCCCACATCTTTCTATTTTTTATTTTGAGACAGCATTTCCCTAAATTGCTCAGGGCCTCACCAAGTTGCCGAGGCTCACCTTAAATTTTTAGTCCTCTTGCCTCAGCCTCCCAAATTGTTGGGATCATAGGTATGCTCCATTGTACCTGGTTTCTAAAGACATTTTGTTCCAGAAAATATCATTATTAGCTCAATGGGAAATACGAGCTCAACATTCTATATACACCTAATTTGATTGGTATTTTTGTTTTGTTTTGGTTTGGTTTGATTTCATTTGGTTTGGTTTTTTGGCAGTGCTGGGTATGGAGCCCAGAGTCTTGTACGTAGGCAAGCCCTCTACCACTGAGCTACACCCCCGACCCTAATTAAAAAAGAAGAAAAATAAGAAAACTAAGCATAAAGACCAACAAGTAAATTCTGACCTGTGATCCAGATCCCTTCCCTTCATCTTCCAGGACCTTGTTTTAATGAAGTGGGTTTTGTCCTTCTCTCTATCTTTCACATGTAAGCACCTTCTCTGTGGAATAATAGCATCCTTGAAAAGATCGTTATGAGGATTATAAATGTATGTGTCGCAGGGTCCCCAAGACCACCCTTGGGTTCATTGATTCATTAGGACTCACAGAATTCAGTAAGAGCTCTTACACCTATGGTTTCATTTTATTGAAGTAGAAGGAAATTAAATCCAGTAAACTTAAGGGTCATGTAGGTGGACTCCAGAGCAGGCAGATCTTGCAGCTGGCATCTCCCATGGGGTTGTGCAGACAACACTGAATTCTCCTGGCATAGATGTGTGACAGTTGCACAGAGAACCGCCACCAGGAGGCTTGCGCAAGCCTCGTTGTCTTGGGTATCACAGGGGGTCAGCGTAGGAAAGGAGCACACAGGAGGCTGACCTTAGATGTCTTTCTTCAGCCCCTCCAGAAGTCAGGCTAATGTAGTCTGGCCCACAGCTCCTACCAAATCGCATTGTTCACATAAGCCAATGGCGCGGCCAAATCCCCAGTAATGCAAAGGCATCAGGCAGAGGGATCGAGGCCCAAGAGCTTATCTTCCAGGAGCTGGCCAAGGGCTAGTCTTTTCTTTGAAATGTGCAGAGTTTGAATAACTCAGACATACTGAGTAAAACCTTTCCTGCACAATGTCTGATTCATGCCGCCTGCAGGGGGGATAATAGTTTCCCTCTTCCTCCATGGCCTAAGAAAACTATAATTAAAAAAAAATGAATTGACAACTTCCTTTACCCAGTATGCTACGTCACACCACCAACCTGTCCTCATTCCTCTTCACTGTGAATTTTCATTCTTTTCTCCTAGTTCTTTTTTGGTGTTAGGGATTAAACCCAGGAGTACTTTACCTCTGAGCCACATCCCCGGCCCTTTTATTTTTTATTTAGAGACAGGGTCTCACTAAGTTGCTTAGGGCCTCGCTTAGTTGCTCAGGCCAGCCTGGAACTTGCAATCCTCCTGCCTTAGTCCCCAAACTGCCAGGATTTCAGACTGTGCCACCTTTTCTCCTAGTTCTTAGTCTTTACATATATATGATTTTACCTCTTTGGGAGTTGCTTTTCTTTTTTACTAAATAAAATTCTTTTTTCCAAATGGCTATATCTTCATTGTTATCATTTGTAGTGGCTATGAACTGTAACTTATTTAAACCTTTTTTGTTTTTGTTAGATGTTTAAATGGTTTACAATTGTTGGCAATAAATAGCTATGCACATGTATCTTTTCTGTATATAATTTGTAAATATTTTTATTTTAAGCTAATTATAAAGGCAAGTAAGCTGCCTGTGAATAATTAGAAAAGTAGGAGGAAAATCTTTCAACCAAGAAATAGCAACTGCTGGGCTGGGGTTGTAGCTCAGTGGTAGAGCAGTTGCCTAGCACGTGTGTAGTCCTGGGTTCGATCTTCGGCACCACATAAAAAATAAATAAAGGTATTGTGTCCAACTGCAACTAAAAAATAAATATGAAAGAAATAGCAGCTGCTAGCCATGGTGACACACGCCTGTAATCCCAACTACCCAGGAGGCCGAGGCAGGAGGATTACGAGTTCAAGGCCAGCCTCTGCAATAGTGATAAATGAGATTATTTGGACATTCATTGTTATTTTGCTTTTAAAATTTACATCTTTGTGAAGGCCATCTGTTACTCTTCATCCCCCAACCACTGTACCCATTAGCATTTACCCCATTCTCCAGGCCCTGGCAACCACAGATTTACTTTCTATTTGTATGGATTTGCCTATCTAAGTGGACAGGACATTTCAAATAGAATTACACAGTGTGTGGTCATTTGTGATTGACTTCTTTCATTAGCATGTTTTCAAGGTTCATCCACATGATAGTATGGATCAGTACTTTATTCCTTTTTATGGCTGAATAATAGTTCATTATATGAATAGACCACAATTTGTTTATCCATTTGTCAGCTATGGACTTTTGAGTTGTTTTTATGATTTTGCTCTGATAAATAATACTGATGTGAACATTTATGAACAGCTTTTTATGGGGCATGTTTACAGTTCTCTTGAAAATACACCTGAGAGAAGTAGTTTGTATTTTCTTTTTTATAATAGCAATACATGTGTATATGAGGTGGTATCTTATTGTGTTTTTTACTTCATTTTCCTACTAACTAATGATATTAAGCATCTTTTCATATATTTTTGGTCGTTTTTGTATTTTCTTTGGAGGTAGTATGGTTAATATCTATTTGTATTATGTGTAAGTTGTACTTTGTTGGTTTTTTAAAAAATAATCGTGGTTATTGTAAAAACTATGCATTTTAAATATAAAGTGACAATTATGAGAATGAGATTGTCCCTGCCTCAGGGTTTCTTGTTTGTTTTTGCGTAGTGACTTTTCTGAACTAAYTCTGTGAAATCTGCTGCTTGCTGTGTGAAGCCGCTGAGGTGTCTCCTCAGCTTAGTGGTCAGCTAATGATTGACAGGCTTCCTTATTAGGGGTTTTGAACCAGAGAGCTTCTGGTCCCTCCTGAGGGGCACCGTGTGCATACTGGGGCACATCTGCCACATTGAGCAAGGCAGTTTGCAATCCTGGCCTAGATTTCACTTCATGGTCTTACAGAACCTCAAAGGTAACTATATGTGAGTGCTTAGCCGCAGCCCCAGGTCTGAGCACACAGCTCTGGATATAGGGATATATGCATAGCCTTACATATGCAGGTGGCTGGCTAAAGTCCCAAGAATGTAGGGGAGTTTTTTAAGTCCTCCTGTGGATGTCAAAGTCCTGGTTTTTCTTGTTAAGCTTTTTTTTTTTTTTTTGGAAGGGGTATGTAGAGACATCAGTGAAAACCACACAGCAGGTAACTCTGAAAATTCTCTCCTTCCCAAAAGCAAAAACTGTCAGAATCAACTTCTTCAAAATTCTGGAAATTGACTGAAGCCTTATAGCAATCTGGAGAGTATTTATTCATTAAAATAGCTAAACCTCAGTAAGAAACAGCAATTTTTAGGGGCATTCGACTACTGAGCCACATCCCAGCTCTATTTTGTATTTTATTTGAAGACAGAGTCTCACTGAGTTGTTTAATGCCTCACTTTTGCTGGCTTTGAACTCACCATCCTTCTGCCTCAGCCTCCTGAGCTGCTGGAATTATCCACGATCTACTGCCTCCACAGCCAGGATGTTCAATTTCTAATTGTTTTCTACAACTGTCCCTGAGGAACTGGCTGCGCACACTGAGTTCTGAGTGAGGTGATATGAAGACAGTGTAGGCAGTGGGGTCTTGCAGAGACCCATAAGGTCAAGTAATGGTGACTCTCAGGGAATGGCTTGAAGGAGCTCCAGCCCCGGCTCGCCTGCTCCATAGGTTACCAGGCTGCTGGTTTTCAGGGCCAACCTGAGCTTGGGGTTGGGTGGGAATCAGAATACACAAGATAAAATAGCAGAGAGCTTGCTGTTTCTTACTGAGGTTTAGCCATTTTAATGAGTAAATGCTCTCCAGATTGCTGTAAGGCTTCAGTCAATTTCCAGAATTTTGAAGAAGTTGATTCTGACAGTTTTTGCTTTTAGGAAGGAGAGAATTTTCAGAGTTACTTGCTTTGTGGTTTTCACTGATATCACTACTACTTGCTTTTTACTTTGAAAATTAAATGGTTACTGTTTTTATTTGTGTACGTATTAGTATTTTGCAAAAAGAAAAGCCACTTTGTGTTTTAGTATTGTTATATAAATCAGCAATTTTTTTAACAGAATCTTACTAGTAATCAAGAAGCTATTGCAAAAGAAATTAAAGAAGATGCTGATGCCTATAGGCGAAAAGTGGATCTTGAAGAACACATGTTTCATAAGCTAATAGAAACTGGCCAGACTCAGAGCAGAAAGACCCAGAAGGTAAACGTATGGCAAATTTAGTGTGTACATAGGAGGTAATTTTCCATCCATAGTTCTTTTAAGAGAACAAATTTAGAATAAATTGTGAAATTGAGATAATTTATTGCTTTGCTTCATTAATCCAAGTTCCTAGAGCCTCACATTGCTGTATTTATTTACAGGGTGCTTGCTTCATTGAAAGTCATATATGAGTCTCTTTCAGACTCTTTACAACTACTGTTTCAAAGGAAATAGAAACTTTACAAATTATGCTTTTCTGTCATGCTGTGTCTCAGAAATTTTCCCTAAATGGTTGAGGTCCCTGTCTTGTATGGAAGCCAGCACTTCCAGAGTATATTTGTGGAATTCTAATAACTGTTATTCAGTGAAGTGGGGGATGACCAAGTATTRTAAATGCTGTCCTAAAATAGGGGGTTTTTTAAATGCCAAATTTGAGAGTTTTGTACATTCTGAATCATTAAGAAACATTTCCAGACTTATTTTATAGAATTTCTTACAGAGTATCCTTTCAGAAATGATGATTTAAATGAATTGAAATAAAACTTGAGGCATTCAAAAAAGAACTTTGTCTATTATACCTTTAGCAAAATGTTAAATGGGTGTATGTCGGGGGTTGGTCCTCTTTCAAGAATCAGGAATGGTGTAGAGACCTTCTGTTCTGCAACAGTCCCTTAGATTATTCACCCAAAATATTCCACTATTTTTTTTTAATTGTAGACTTTTGTGAATCTGTAAAAATAGGCTCTTTTGACTTGTTTTCATGGTGTTTAGAACAAATATTACTAAATCCTACCCATCCCCTAGCCTGGAAGTTCTCACTCTTGCTATACATTAAAATCACTTACAGAGTGTTTTAAAATACCAATATCCAACTGCACCAGAGATGGATTTTACTGGTTTGTGGTGGGCCCTGGGAGTCAGTCTGTTTTACCACACCAGGTGACTGTGATATGCAACCAAGCTTATGAACAGCTGTCCTGGATACCTGGACACATGATTTTAGAGTCTGACATTGTTTCTGAATTTTTACAACTTTTCTTAGATAATTGAAGAAAATTTGGCAAAAGCTGAACAAGCATGCTTAAATACTGACTGGCAGATTCAAAATTTACATAGACAAAAATCTAATGATCTACAAAGAAATGAAGGTTACCGAGAAGTAGCCAACCTCCTTCGGAAGAACAGAAGGAAAGAATCAGAGGTATTAAATGCAATGATGGAGGAGGAAGCTAAGAAGGTAAGAATCGTATTATAAATTTTTTATTAGATGAAGCATTTAAATATCAGAATAATACAAAATCAGATGACAAAAGCATCAAACCAAGTAATTTTAGTTGGGAAAAATAATCTAATTTTAATGGTTATTTCTCAGAGAAGTTATCTAATATTGATGCTACCTAAAAATTGTTAAGCATTTTTCTCATTTATTTTAGTGTGTCTCAATTTGTTAGCTCCTGGATTTGTTCTGACTGATTGGGTAGTATTACCACTTTAATTTACCTGCTTTTCGTTTATTGTTTGGTTTGTTTTTTAAGTCTGTGGTAATATTATTATACTTTTTTAAATATTTATTTATTTTTAAGTTTTAGGTAGACACAATATCTTTATTTTACATTTATGTGGTGCTGAGGATCAAACCCAGTGCCTAGTGCATGCTAGGCGAGCACTCTACCACTGAGCCACAACCCCAGCCCCATATACTTTTTTTTTTTCAAAAAAAAAATTTTGTTTTTAGTTGCCAGTGGACCTTTATTTTATTTATTTATATGTGGTGCTGAGAACTGAATCACACATGCTAGGCAAGTGCTCTACCACTGAGCTATAATCCTAGCCCCTCATTTTAATTTTTTTGTTTGGGAATTTTTTGGTTTTAGAGTTTTGGTTTTTGATTTGGGGTACTAAGGATTGAACCCAGAAACATTCTACCTCTGAGCTATATACCTAGCCCTTTTTAAATTTTTTTACTTTGAGACAGTGTCTTGCTAAGTTACTGAGGCTGGCCTCAAATTTGCAATGGTCCTACACTAGGCTCCCAAGTAGTTGGAATTACAGGCATGCCACCATCATGCCCAGCTTTACCTCATTCTTTATACTTACAAAAGATTTTGAATAAATAGAAAATGTTTGGAGCTGCTAATAACAAAACTCAAAATAGTAGTGACAAGATAGAAATGCTTTTCTTTCTCACAAGTTTGGAGATAAACAGTTTCAAGCTACTGAGACTTCAAGGCTACCATGTTTCTTGGACTTTTCTGTACTGCTTCTTGGTGTATGGTTTTCATTCTCAATGATACCTTATCATCCAAGTTGACTGCTAGAGTTCCAGCCATCACATGTATATGCCAGACAACAGAAAGAAGTACAGGATCTTCTACCTCCCATCAGAGTCAGCTCTTTCTCAGGGTCCCTATTTTAGTCAGCTCTTTCACTACTATGACTGAAAGACCCAACCAGAACAATTGTAGAGGAGGAAAAGTGTATTTGAGGGCACATGGTTTCAGAGGTCTTAGTCCATAGAAGGCCAACTCCATTCCTCAGGGCTCAAGGTGAGGCCCCATGGAAGAAGAATGTAGCAGAAGGAAACAGCTCACATGGTGATTAGGAAAGAGAGAGAGAGAGAGAGAGAGAGAGACACAGACAGACAGACAGACAGACAGACTCCACTTGCCAGATACAAATAAAAATCCCAAAGCCACATCCCATTTCCCACCTCCTCCAGCCGCACCTTATCGCTTCAGTCACCACTTGGTTAATCCCAGTCAGGGTATAAATTCACTGATTGGGTTAAGACTCTTAAAATCCAGTCATTTCTCCTGTGAACCTTATTGTATGGGAGCTTCTGGAGGACCCCCTCACATCCAAATCATAGTAGTCCCATATCATATTTCTAACCAATTAGGTTGCAAAAGATTCTGGGAAATGTAGTTTTTAACAGGGTTTATTATGAACCTAAATAAAATTAAGATTTATTCTGAAAGTAGATTCAAAATGGATTTTGAAGAGACAGCCAAGAGTGTATGTCACACAGATGTATCTTTTGGTGACTTCTCCTAACACCTGGAAGCCCTGTGCTCTGTAGACTCTATCACAGATACCGTGGACTTTCCTAAGGGTTCTGCAGCTGGGGAGAGATGAGGCTCTAGATAACTGGCTTTAGTTCCTTCCTCCTTCTGCAGCTGCCTCAGGTGTCTATTCTGAAAGCTGTTTACCACATGTTTCAGACAAGTCTCTATTCCAGAGTGTCCTACCACCTCCCAGTGGCAAGGAGCCCTTCCTTTCAGGGACAGGAAGGGGGAGTGGGGAGGAGTACTGTCCAGGACACTGAGGCCGTTGTCTCAGGAGTACTGTGGTGGAAGCCCCCACCCCTGCTCCCGTCGGATCGCTGATACTATGGCTGGACTGTGAAATTTGGTGCTACTGTACTTGGGTGAAATAGTACATTTGAGAGTAGATGGAATCATTGTAAGGGCTTCTCACATTATGCAGAAATTCTTTGTGTTTGGATCCTGGGTTCTAAAGCTAACTTGACTTTTATGTAACCTTGGGGAATCCCCAGACTCAGTGCCATCATCAGGAACACCAAAGGGATGGGTCTCTGGTTGTGTTTTATGATTCTTTAAAGCTTTTATTTAGTACATTGGTGTTCTCTTCATGAAAATGATATGAGTGTTTCCATATAAAAGCTGTAACATTTCTAGAACATTAGCAAATATTATAATATTTTAAATCTGTTATTTTAGTTATCCTCTGAGCTGATTTTAAGGTGATGGTCATTTTCTTATTTTCTGGGGAAGAAATCAGGGGACTAATAGAAATTATTTGACTTCCTTGTGGTCAAGGTGTATGCCAGAGCTGGACAAAGAATTAATTCTCTGAATTTTGTTGACTTTTTTTTTACTAAGGCATAGCATTAAAATTAAATAAAATTAATCACCATTAATACAAAACCAGCTTAGACTCCTAAGATTTGAAGCACATGGAAATGAATGGTTGTTTCTACAATGGTTGGGTTGGCTATGGGTTCCACGGCCCTCAGAGGTGCTGAGTACTACACAGAATGTGCCTCTGTTCCCAGAGGTCTTCCATAGCTGTGGGACACCACAGCCGCCCAGATCCCATAATACCAAGCAGATAGTGTGCACCCTGAGACTGTGAAGGAGGAAGAGTAGAGGAAAAGATAAGAGTTTGTGTTACCACAATGTTTATGTGATCTGTTTTCACCACTTACTTTTATGTAGTGGAAGGAAGCTGAAGAAAAAGGGTTTCATTTGAGATCAGAAAAGAAAGCTTCTGCCCTTTCGGATGAATCCAGAAAGTGGTTTTTACAGCAGGAGATGAGTGCTGCCTTAGAACATGCTGAAAATCCATGTAATAAAGGTGAGTGTCATTGAGTGTCCTTCATACTGTCACACATTCCTCTTTTCTGTTCTCATGAATAATTCATAGAGGTGTATTTTGGCACTTTCATTCAAACTATGCACTGCTAAGAGGTAATCACTAGTTTCTTTTTTCTTTTGGGGGAGGAGCAGGAAAGGGTGAGCTGAGGAGGTGGTTATGTTTAAAAACAAAGCTCTGATCAAGAACAGTGTTTCGCCTTTCCTGTAGGACTGATTCCCGTAGGACTTTCCGTAGATCCATGGCCCCTTGACATCCTCTTAATCTTCTAGAATGTGATTTGTTCCCAAAGTGCTACTTATAATTATTTTAGTAAAAATATGTGCTTTGCCAATATCTGGCCCTCAGAATAATAGTATATTAATGTTTATCTTAGAGATCTTCCTATAGGATCTAATCAAACATTAGGCTTTTGTTACAAGGACTACAAAATCAACTGAAAAAATGAAAATCATAATTTATATATTATAATTTAAAATTCTAAAATAGAGTACAAATACAGGAAAATTTTATTATGTTGTATTGTTTCAGTCTTTTATAATGTATATGCATTCTTTTTAAAATCACAGCTTTGCTGATGTATAATTCACATACCATACAATTTACCTATTTTATAGTGTACAATGTGTTGTATTACTGTATGTTAAGAAATCTATTCAGAGCTGTGCAACTATCACCACAAGCAATTTTAGAACTTTTTTTGACACCTCAAAATAAACTCTGTACCAATTAAAAGTTATTCCCCTCTTCCCCTCACTCCCCACCAGCCGCTGGCAACTACTGATCTACTTGTGGTCACTAGATTTTTCTCTTCAGGAGATTTCATGTAAATGGAGTCCTACAATATATGGTCTTTTATGTCTTGTTCTTTTACTTGGCATAATGTTTTGAGTTTCAACCACAAATCTGAAAAGTAAAAATCTAGGTTAGATGCTGTCATCAGTTACTCATTCCTACTTTGGCAACCCCTCATTACCTCTCATGCTTGAGATTTAGTGGTCTCAGTTGCATCAAAAATAGTAGTTGGGAGAAGTGGGGAGAGAATGTGACTTTGCACAAATTAAATATTTAAAACTGGCTCACAAAGGATAGTGTCTTCTGGAGCTATCTTTTCTCCCTGACCCTTTCATACTTACTCCTGTTTTAGAAAGGAAAAACTTTTTGAATCTTTTCAAGAACCTACATATTTAGAAATAGAAAAATGTGGGAAGCTTCCATCATCATTGGTGTAACAACATACTTCCGTCTGCCTCCATAATGGCTCCCCTCCTGCTACCTAAAGTTTAACCCTCCTAAACTTTACCAATGAGAGAATTTGTTAATAAGCATCCCGTTTTTAAAAGGTAAACCCCTAAAGAACTGTCAGTCATTTCTTTAATCAGGATGTATAATTTAGTCATAGTCATGTGACCCTAAAACCAGAAGATAATTGGCTACAGTTAGGAAGACATTTTGATTGGAGATGCTCAGTGTTGGTTTTCCACTCAGGCCCCAGAAGACAGGTACCAGGACGAAGCAAACAGTCCGCATGTGCCAGGGACAGAAGATTTACTTAACATTTTTGCCTAGTATTGAAACTTTATCAGCAATGTCAGGAAATTCTTACTATCTTTCAGAAGACAGAACTTTCTGGTTCATGCCTGGACGTCCCTAAAATCCCAGGCCTAGAAACTTAATTTTAAAATGGCAAAGCATGTGAATAGACATTTCTCCAGAGAAGATACAAAAAATGGCCAGATGCACATGGAAAACATGTCCACTTTATTAATTGTTAGGGAAAGGGAAATGAAATAAAAAACCACCATGGGATACCACTCCACACCCTCTAGGTTGGCTATAGTCAAAAAGACAAATAGTAAAGGGTTGGTGAGGATCAGAGAGATGGGGACAGTGCTGCAGGGAGTGTAGAATGGTGCCATCGCTTTGGAAGGTTAGTTTGACAGTTCCTCAGAAGGTTAACTCAAGTAGTGCATCCCCTAGGTATATCTCCCAGAGAATCAAAAGCATGTGTTTGTGTAAAAACTTATTCGTGAATGTTTGTGGCATCATTATTTGAAACAGTCAAAATAGAAACAACCCAGAGATCCTTTAAATGAGGAATGGATAAACAATGGGATATATCCATAGAACAGAATCTTACTCATTTATAAAGACAAGTGAGTGCTGATCCATGGTACAAAATGGGTGAACTTCATGGCGGCAGCTCATGGAGGGGTGGGTGCTTGCCTAGCATGCACAGGGCTCTAGGTTTCATTCCCAATACCACCAAAAAAAAAAAAAAGAAAACTGAACCTTAAACCCCATGATACATTAAAAAAAAAAAAAAGACCTAAAAGGCCACATATTATGTGATCCTGTTCATATAAAATGTACAGAATTGGAAAATCTGTGGAGATCAGAGTAGTTAGTGGTTGGCTGGAAGTGAAAAGGATGTGGAGTTTCTTTTGGGGTGATGAAAATGTTCTAAAATTAGTGGTGACAGTTGTACAACTCTGAATAACTCTGAATATATTAATAACACTGAATTGTGCACTGGGAAAGTATCCAGTTTGTGTGGGGGGTATGGATTATACATTAAGGAGACTGTTGCTTAAAGAAAGACATCAGTAAATGCTGTTGCTGAGTAAGGCCACTGGACCAGGTTTCAAAATCACTGGGCCTTGAAGAAAGGGGAGAGTGTAGAGAAGCAGGATGACACTTGAGACAGAGAGGGTGCACCCCACTCAGGACAGGCCCACTGTGTGGGTGTGAACACGAGGGTCTCAGTACACTCAGCTGCTGTCACTGAGCTGTGTGCCTCTGGTTAGTTTATTTAACCACTTGAATTTGGATTAACTCAGGAACATTTACTGGTCTTCAGTTTTGTATTTGTGAAATGAGAAGATTATAGACTTGGTGATCTTTAATTTTGTTACAATCCTAACATTGCATTATACTGTTTTGTAACCACTTGTTGTTTCTGGACCTCTTTGGGAAACATCTCCCAAAACATGCACATATACATACACAAACGAAATTTTTCCTTATGTTTATGTGAATTGGTTAACCAAAAACTTCCATGAATTTCAGTTGTTCATGAAGAACTTGTTATTGTGATTAAACAATGGTAGGAAGTTGCCTGTCTTAGTGATTTAAGTTAGGCAAGCTGGAGCAAAGAACTTGGGTTCACTCTAGCCCTAGCTATCTCGGAAAAGATAGATAATAAGGACTTCAATGCCAGCCTGGGAGGGGGGGTCCTTCTCCTGTTGCTGTAAGTCTGCCTCCTAGACAAGGAACTTGGGGGCAAGGTTGGACAAGGCAGGAATTTAGTTGTACCTTTTTATTCCTTTTGAATCTTTCAGTATATATAATAACAATTCATTATATAAACACTAATTCAAAATAATAAAAAGGCCAGTACAGTGGCTCCTGCCTATAGTCCCAGCCACCCAGGAGGCTGAAGCAGGAAGATTGCCAAGTTCAAGACAGCCTTGGCAATTTTTTTTAAAATTTTTTATTTTTTTTAATATTTATTTTTTAGTTCTCGGCGGACACAACATCTTTGTTGGTATGTGGTGCTGAGGATCGAACGCGGGACTCACGCATGCCAGGCGAGCGCGCTACCGCTTGAGCCACATCCCCAGCCCCAGCCTTGGCAATTTAGACACCGACTCAAAAAAAAATTTTTTTTTTTGTTGTTGTTGTTGTTGTTTTGTTTTTAAAAGCTGGGAATGTAGCTCAGTCCTTGCCTAGCATGTGCAAGGCCCTGGGTTCAACCCCCAACACCACAAAACAATAATAATAAATAAAGTGATAAAGAATTACCTTTGGAGCCTTAGATACATTAAATTAAGAAAAACAAAAGCAAGTTGCAATACAGGAAGTATAGGAACTTTCACTTTTCCTCTATTCCTCATATGTCCAAAATTGTTACAATTAACATTTGTTATTTTTCATAAATCAAAGATTTTTTTTAAAATTCACATATCCAGGACCTCACAAATGCAATTTAATTTGCCAGTGTTTGAAATATTGCTGTGGGCAAAGGGAACCACTGGTTATTTGAACAGAGATAATATTTACCAGACAGCCGCTGGGGAAGGTGAATTAAACGCAGTGGCCAGTGTTTTGGAGGACAGAGGAGAGGCGACTGGGAGATGTGGACTCTGGAAGGYGGGGAAGGCCGACTTGTGCTGCGCCCCCTGTGCTGGGGCACTTGGAGGCTGGCGAGCTTGTCACCGCACTCCATTTTCTATTCCTTCCACGTGTAAAGAGGTCGACTCTTTGTGTCCTCTTGGTAAGTCTCTAGAAGCTGCTCTGGGCGCGGTGCAGGCGGTGTGGGCGACCTCCGCTCCCCCTCGCACACTCCTGTGCCGTTGGCCCACGCCAGGTTGGCCCACGCCAGCTCGTTAGTCAGTTGGTAATTAGCTTTATCTTAATGCCTCAGGAGCTAAACCTCGGAGTGAAAAGAGCAGGTGGAGTTTGCAGCTGGTGTCGCAGGGAGCCTCTGCCGGCTGCGGCCGTGTATGGAGGCTGGGCTGTGCTGGAGTGGCCAGGGAGAGGCCTGAGGTGGGGGTTAGGACGGGGCTTTTTCAAGGAAGACTTTGGTGTCATTGGATGTGAAGCCTTAGGAGTTAGGGGCAGTAAGAGAGCAGCTGAGAGGCCAGTGTCAGCCAGTGAGAGCACTTGATGAAAGTGGGAGGCGCCCCTGGGCTCCAGAGCTGGCTGGGCCTCCTCTCTGGAGGCTGCGGGGGGGGGGGGGGGGGGGGGGGGGCCAGCCTCGCTGGGTGGGCTTGTAGTCGGCGGAGGCTGGTGCGCGGCCGGCAGTGCTCGGCAAGGGCTTCCTGATCGCTTTCATAAGCACTTCCAGTAAACATTGGGGATCTCTACCCTAACATCTGCATTTTTTTTAGCTATCTGTTGCCTTTTTGTTTTAGCTAGTGGTGTTTTTAAAAGATGCTATGAAAATTTCAGCTGAGCTCTTAACTCTCACTGTGCTTTACTTGCCTCTGGCTGATGGTAGCATTTTTTAATTTATTCTAATTAGTTCTACATCACATTTTCTTTATCCATTCATCTGTTTAAGGGCATCTAGATTGGTTCCATAGTTTATCTATTGTGAGTTGAGCTGCTATAAACATTGATGTGGCTGCGTCCCTGTAATATGCTGACTTTAAGTCCTTTGGGTAGAAACCGAGGAAGGGGATCACTGGGTCAATTGATGGTTCCATTCCAAGTTTTCTGAGGAATCTCCATACCACTCTCCATAACGGTTGTACCAATTTGCATTCCTACCAGCGATATATGAGTGTACCTTTTTCCCCACGTCCTCACCAACATTTGTTGTTGTTTGTATTCTTGATAATTGCCTTTCTGACTGGGGTGAGATGAAATCTTAGAATACTTTGAATTTGCATTTCTCTAATTGCTAAAGATGTTGAACATTTTTCATATATTTGTTGATCGATTGTATTTCTTCTGTGAAGTGTCTGTTCAGTTCCTTAGCCCATTTATTAATTAGATTATTTGTTTTTTTGGTGGTTTTTTTTTTTTTTTTTAGTTCTTTATATATCCTAGAGATTAATGCTCTGAGGTTCATGTGGTAAAGATTTTCTCCCATTCTTAGGCTCTCTCTTCATGTTATTGTTTCCTTTGTTGAGAAGAAGTTTCTTAGGTTGATGCCATTGCATTTATTGATTCTTGATTTTGCTTCTTGCACTTTAGGAGTCTCGTTAAGGAAGACAGATCCTCCGCAACATTTAATGGTGGTAGCATTTTTTCAGAATAGAAAAGAAAGTGTTTAACCATCCTGACAATTTTGTGTGTGTGTGTGTGTGTGTGTGTGTGAGAGAGAGAGAGAGTGTGTTCGCACGTGCGCGCTGGGGATTGAATCCAGGGCCTTGTGCATGCAAGGCAAGCACTCTACCAACTGAGCTATATCCCCAGTCTGACAATTTTAATTTACTAGGGACCACTGGCATTAGTAAAGGCTTTCTGCTCCTTCCTGAACATCCTCTCTACCTCATTTTTGCAGCAGAAGTGCTCCAGTTGCAAAATGAACGGGTTACGTTGAGCAGTTTGCCTAGAACCTCAGAATTAAATGACATTTCTGATATGGATTCCTCAACACAGAGTAAGTTGATAAGCAAGAAAGATTTCTTCTATCATTTTTTATTTAACAATATTTAAGCAAAATTGTGGTTGCAATGATATTTATAGAATGTCAGTGCTGGTTTCTTAGGTCCCTGATAGCAGAGAACCTAAAATAGAGTCAGCAAGAATCCCACGTGTTTCCAGCTAGAGGAAAAACCAGATACAGACCAACTCCAGATAAAGAAAGTCTGCAGAATGCATTCATGCCACTCCATTTGTTTATATCAGTATTGCTGCCCCAAAAGAGGTAGAGGCCCTAACTGAAGGCCCTAAATTAATAATATGAGGTTTGTAACTGCTTTCATATCCTTTCAAAAAGAAAACTTCAGCACTACCACATATGTGAATTGTCTTGTGTCTTCCTCTGCAGCCATTGGGAGGAGTCCATGCTACATCAGGTGCGCTGCTGCCAAGATGAAAGGCTTTGTGCTGGCTAGTGGGTGACTTCAGATCCCTTGGCTTGATGCCCTGGGGGATCATGTTTATTTTTGGAAGGGATAGGGTGGCATCTTACAGCAGTATAGTCACACTAACCGATAAAGGAGCTAACAAGTATATTACTAACTGTGAAAAGGGAAGAAGGGACTGGAAACTGTAATGTTAGACATTCTTTCAGCTGACGTTTTCAATAGATGAAGCAGAATTTAAGGAGGTCTTTTGAGTTCTTTTAAAAGAACAAAATTTTATGCAAGGTTTCCAAAAAATGAGCTTTTTAAGAAATTTCTCTTTTTTTAAACTATAATAATATTTTAATAAATTATACAAAAAAGATGAGACAAATGTGCATTTGTGGAATTGCATGTTGGTAAGGCCAGATCCCTGCAGAAGGTTCCTTCTGCCGTGAATGTGTACGTCTAGTTGTCTCCCTCTTAGAGCAGACATTTACTTTCCTCACACACCACCCATGGGAGGAGGGCTGGGACCACGAAGATGATTGATTTGACCCGTTCTTCAGGGAGGGTTTCCATTGTCGAATCTGGAATAAATGAGTTTCTGTAGCCTCTTTTGTTTTCACATCTTCTTGAGGAAGTTTTGAAGAACAAAATCACAAATTCAGCTGTTCTCCAAAAGAAATCTGTTATCAAAGACAGTGTCCCTGAGGACTGCTCTGGCACTTGTCCATTCGAGCACATCGTGGCTTGGTTCTTGGCTTCCCAGTGACTTACAAGAAATATTTCTAATAAGTCATAAGATTCCAGTATTATGTGAAATGTTTTTGTAACTCATAGTTATATATGCACCTATAAATTCTGTGCCAGGATATGAATTAGACTAAGAATCATTTGTGAATCAAATGAAATACAGAGATTCTCCACTGTTCTTATTCTGACACCTCAGAACTCCCTCTTTTTCTTCCTCACCACGTTTCACAGGCAGCCTTCACACCCCTTGGGCTGGCACTGGCCTCCTGCTTTAGCCTGCAGAGCAGCTGGGAGCGCAGGCCTGTGCTTCTCGCCCAACTAGAACTTCAACTTTAACCAGACAATTCTAAATTTCAAACTGGAGTGAAAGGATTGGCTCAGTCTAGGTCGTTTGGGGAAAAAATAAAAATGAAAAAGAAAGTTCTTTGGGAGAAGAAAATAGTTTTTCAGGAATTGAAGCTGACTGGTTATGAAACTAAATTTCAGAAGTGTATTTTTCTCCCAAATTCCATATTTACTAGCCCCTTAGTCCACTTGAAATGGCCATTACTCTTAGACAAATTGTTGTATTTTAATCTTTGCTATTAAGAACATTGTTTGTTTATTTTGTTATTGGGAAAGCAGTCATGGAACACACTTCACAGTGACTAGGAATGACTTTTCTCGTTATCATTGACATCATAGTGAGGAAGCTTACTGTTTTGAAGAACACAAATTCTTAGTCATGCTTGGTTCCTAATGTATAAATTTTATAAATGCTAAATCACTTAAAATATACAACTTTGCTGATAGCATTTCTTCAGTTCTATAAATAAATATTTGAATTGTAAATGGAACTACTTAGGGGCAGGTAATTCATTCAGCTTTTTGTTTAAGAAGCCTCGTTTTTACAATATTCATTTTATTATTAACRTTTGCAGCACATAACCTTCAAAGTAATTACTCTATCATTGCTAACATCAGAAAATTCAACTGCTAGTAATATTAAATTTTGTTTTCAAGTTTCTTTAAATAGAAAAACAAGAGAATGGGACAGCATGGAGCAGAATCTTATCAAGAAAGTAAGAAATCTCCGCCAGAGGCTCACCGAGCAAGCTCGTGAGAGATGTCGGACCCCTCACCTTTTAACTATGTAAAGACATGTCACCTCAAGATAGTCAGAGGGAGATACCTATTTACAATCAATGACACTGATTTTTATATTGTTTATTTTAAATTCCTATGGAGACCATCCTTCTGTATAGAAAAAAATGTGTTCATAAAAATTATGTTTTCTATTTAATTCTAATACTTTTTGACTTACAAATGACTTCTTGAACTTTTCACAGTAAAAGGTTTTTGAAAACTCTTAAGGCTGTTGGGCTCTCAGTTGCAAAGACCAGCTTCAGCAACTTTAGCAATGAAAGTTTACTTTAAAGATAAATGAAGGGGCTGGGGCTGGGGCTCAGGGGGAGAGCGCTCGCCTGGCACGTACAGGGGCACTGGGTTCAATCCTCAGCACCACATAAAAATGAATAAATAAAGGTATTGTGTTCAACTACAAATAAAAAATAAGAAAGATAAATGGATAGAGCTGGGGTTGTGGCTCAGCAGTAGCGCACTCACCTAGCACATGCGAGGCCCTGGGTCCAATCCTCAGCACCACATAAAAATGAATAAATAAAGGTATTGTGTTCAACTACAAATAAAAAATAAGAAAGATAAATGGATAGAGCTGGGGTTGTGGCTCAGCAGTAGCGCACTCACCTAGCACATGCGAGGCCCTGGGTCCAATCCTCAGCACCACATAAAAATACATAAATAAAATAAAGATATTATGTCCAACTACAACTAAAAACTAAAAATTAAAAAAAAAAAAAGATAAAAGGAGAGGGCTGGGGGTGTGGCCCAGTGTAGAGCGCTTTCCTAATGTGTGAGGCACTGGATTTGATTCTCAGCATCGCATATAAATAAATGAATAAAGATCCATCAACATTTTWAAAATATTTTTAAAATAAATAGAGAAAWAAATCCCAAAAAACCATCTCAGCAACATGCAACCAGGACTGAGAGAACTCGGCAGCAGCCGGAGGCTCCATCAGCGTGGACTTGGCCTGAATGACAGCCCTCCTGCCCCCGTGTCACCACAGCAGAATCTCCTCTGCCAGTGACCCCACCACAACCACAGACATCTCAAGCTCTGCTTCTCTGGCCCTCTGCGTGCTGCTCTCAGCAGAGCTGTCTGCTGGTCCTCCCCATCTCTTCGCTCCCAGCAGGGCTACCCAAGATTTCATGAACCTTGCTCCCCCGTTTTTAAAGGGAGAATAGAAATAGCTCCCAGCCTTTATGTGAGGACTACATAGACGAGGCGTGTGCAGTTCTTTACCCAGTGCTCAGCATACAATGCGTGTGCAGCACAGTAGTCATTTTTTTCCCCTGGGGTCTCAACACATAAGCTTACAGYGAACCAATCCTCTTAGTCAGGTTCTCTTATCAAAGTACTAAAATAATATCCTGTCACTGCAAGGCATTGGTTTCCCAAGAGTAGTTTCTTCAACCTAATTTTCTGTACATTTTCAGTGGTCATAATATATGCCTTCATGGGTCAGGCTGGTGTGTTTTGCAACAGGAGTCACAGGGTATGAAATATATAGGGTGTGATGGGAACTTGGATGAACTAGAAATTGCTTGTTCACCTAAAAGCATGCAGAGTCTAAAACTGTTGTGATTCTGCCTACAGGAATCAGCTGTGTATTGCCAACTTTAACCTCTCTCCCAGGTCCTCTTTTTCTAAAATTTATACTAAGATTGGTTTTGCAACTATACACACATACGGCTTTATAATGTATCACAATTGTTTCTTAAAAAGTTGATTTTTAAAAATGAGTTCTGATTGCTCAACCATATGAAGTTCTTTTTAATCACATTCTTCCAGTTTTCTCTGGGCTACGTTTCTCCCAACAACGATCTTGATAAAGTCACTGCCTTAGCAGATTTCAGATATTTGGCTGAGTCTCTAGTCATATGTGCTTGGTTGGCATTTCTAAGACTATCATGTCTGCTGAAGTACATAAAGTATGTTTCTGATTATGTCTTTTGGCATCACAGCCTCAGTCTTACCCCAGTTACTTTAAAATGAGAATTCTCTGGGATCGAATAAGGGTTGAGCCTGACACAATGGCTTTATTCAGAAAGTTTCTCTCCAATACTCCCTTGAATTTGTGTAAGAAGAGCAATACCTAAATGCCTTTTTATGTTTTTTACTTTCAGAAGGTTTCCATCTTGTGCAAACTGGACCATGTTAGATAAGTGTTGGGCTTCAGCTAAATCTCTCTCCATCTCTGTCTACACTTGAGGGGGTTTTTCAGTGAATTAAATGGTATTGAATASGATATTAACTCGAGTTGAGGCCTTTTCATATTTTACATTCACAGAGTTTTTCTCCAGTATGAATTCTGTAATGTTGAGCGAGATTCGAATGTTTCCACAGTGGTACGTGTTGACCACAACAGAACTGTGTATAAGGCTTGGTTTATGAATACAGATGAACTTATCAAAAATTCTGAATTTAATGTTTAATCTCATATCAGTCTAGGTCCATTCAGGAGACAAACCACACAATGAGGGAGGTATAACATAAAGATTTGTTAAGCTGATGGGAGGCAACTATGAAGAAGTAAAGAGAACTCTAAAGGGTGCCACAGATGGAGGGGGATCTCTCAAGGAAGGACGGCCTTGGAAAGGGAGCCCCCTTCTGTTCCAAGGCTCAGGGTCAAACATGTCCAAGAAGGGGTGGAGAATGGAGTGGTTCACGGGTTGTCCAGGCTAGAGCTAGTCCACATCCACAGCACGTCGTCCAAAGCTGGTGGGTAAAAGTGCATAAGGTATCAGGACCCCTCCTCAGGCTGGAGTGTGGCCTGGTGTGTGCACTGTGCAATCAAGAGGACCACAGGAAACAATCCTCAGCCACAGGCAGTCCAAGGCTGATGTGCAGGTGCTCAGAGTGCATCAGGATGCTGCTACTCACCTGGAACATGCCAGTGTCATCAAAGGACTGCAGTGAAGTGGTCATCGAACTGGGGCAGTCAAGAGCAATGGAGTGAAGGAGCAGACTGCACTTCCCTGGGGCACATGACTACAGAAGAGCACCCCTGGATCTCCCACCCATGCTAATTCTGAAGGGATATGAAGCTGGAGCAAGTCAGCTGAGCAGCACAGTGGAGTTAGGAAGAGAAGCCCCATTCCCGCAGTGTCCCTCCAGCACYCTCTATTGACAGCTGAACAGCATGCATACTAAGAAAAGAAATGCAGAAGAGTCCAGGCCATTACTGCAGGGCAGGGACTGAGAGGCAGTCAATGGATAACCAGCACCCTTGTGCAATTGGAAGTGGCTCTACAGTTTACATGGTTGGCTGACAAATGTGGACTCGATTTTGGCCGCTATTTGATAAGAATGACAGAATTTCACTGGTATGATGTTGATGAATATAGCCAAAGCTTAAACAGAAAGGATTTATCACATATGGACCTCCACACCTTCAAACTGTGTACTCTGGTCCTAAAAAGACTCTTCCTTCTTTAAGGCAGTGAGTGAAGGAAGCATCTGCAAACCAGAAAGCTCCATGGTGGCTCCCCTCTGCAGACAATATGTGACAGTAAAGGGAGGCCACCTCTGATAATGAGATTCCATGCTAGTGAAGCCAAGTAGCAGCGTGGAATTGCCAAAGACAACTATCTACAGCAAAAGGCAGCATGGAACTAGTAGCATTAAGGGGTCTTTGTTGATAATTGATTAGTGTCACAAAGATTGAAACACATAAGAAGCCTATTAAATGAAATTCCATATGTGTAACAGGACAAACACCAACCTGATGGCCAAAAGCCTGACTGGAGTCATGCCTGCCACCCAGTTTCCAGACCTAAAGCCACTTGAAGGGCRGGGCTGTGGCTCAGCAGTAGCGCACTTGCCTGGCATGTGTGAGGCACTGGGTTSGATTCTCAGTACCACATTAAATAAATAAATAAATAAATAAATAAATAAATAAATAAAWRGTCTATCAACAACTAAAAAATATTTTTTTAAAAAAGGCATTTCTTGGGGCTAGAGTTGTGGTTCACTGGTAGAGCACTTGTCTCACAAGTATGAGGCACTGGGTTCCATCCTGGCACCACATAAAGACACATAAAGACATTGAGTTCATACACAACTAAAAGAAAGTATTTAAAAAAAAAAAACTCACTTGATTGAAAGAGTCCAGATCCCCTTGAGAAAAGACCTTACTGCATGCTGTAAGTGTTCTTTAAGGTTTCCTGAGGGGACCTGTGGCCCTTTACTTGAATGATTGTATACTAAGAAAACACCCAGACCTTACAGGGATTTCTAGGCCCCGAGTTGATGCTCACTACTGTGGCCCATGGGGACATTCGGGGGTAATGGGCTCAGGTGATCAAGGAGTCGTGGGCAAAATTTGGATTACCCGCAGGTGAATAGGTCACAGAACTAACCTGTGCTATTTCCCGAGTATCCAAATAACCGGAATAAGCATAGACCGGTAAATGACGAATCTGCACCGCGGCCTGTGATCGGCTGAGTAAGGGCTATTACCCAGGAAGAGCCAAGTGAGAGCTCGGGGAGGGCCTCCAGGCCGGGACAGTACACCGGAAGTGTCACCGCAGTCTTCCCGGGGACTTGCGGAGGCTGGAGGGTGAGGAGCTGGGAACCGCTGTCSCGTCTCCTGTAATGTGCAATTCACCTGTGGAGAGGGGAGAGGATCTCTGAGTGAAGAATTCAGTAGGTGACACAGAAGCTGCAGCAGCTCTCGATGCAGCCTCGACACAGCCCCTGGCCTGCCGTGCCCTAGCAGCAGCCTCGGTGATTCCTGGGGTCCCTCCTCCCGGTCCCATCACAGCCGGTCACTCCCCAGTCCACAGCCCCAACTCCCCGCCACGGTGTTCGATGCTCTCTGCTGTCCAGCATCTGTTCACTCGTGGCCCTCGCTCCCCGCCTCACGGTRCTCCCGGTCACTACGCCCGGGCCTCGGTGCCAGGGGCCCTACTCTGCTGCGACGCATCGACCTTCTGTATTCTGCGCACAGGGTGGTCCCGGCTCGGCCCAGAGGTGTCCCTGTGCCCCGCGAAAGTCAACGCTCCACCGCAAGGGCAGGGAACACGGAGTAGTGGGTAGGCAGGGGCGCGACTCCAGGCCCTCGTCCCGAGCCACCTAGCGTGGGCAAGATTCCCGCTACGTCCCTTCTTAAGGTCAGCCCCAGACAGACAAGCAAATAAAACCCGGGTTTACCCCGCAAGGATAAAGAAACTGAGATCAAAAGTATTGTGCCCCGTGTGAGGATCGAACTCACGACCTTCAGATTATGAGACTGACGCGCTACCTACTGCGCTAACGAGGCACCTAGGCGTTCTCTCAGGCTACAGGCTAATGAAGCTAGTGACGCACTCGATGCGCATGCTCAGAAGGTACCGTTTGGTTKGGTTTTCTTGTCTCCGTGGGCTATTTCCGGCCTGAAATTGTCGATGCTCTCAGCCTCCGCGACCCGTGAAACCTGTCCACCTGCCTAGCGCCCTTCTCCGCCTGCCCTGCTGTTTGCCAATCAACAAATACTGCACCAGTTAGAACCAGGGAGAGGGGAATTCTTCCTGCTGTTGTGAACTGTTGTGCAGTGCTGACAAAGCGTTGGCACACTCGTGATCTTTTGAAACATTAGGCACCTACTGTGTTCCTGGCCCTGTACTGGGTGCTGCGTTCACAGGGACACTCGGCCTAGGGAATAGGGCTGCGGCAACAGGATGGTCACGATCTATCTGCAGGCGCACGCGCGCGCCCCACCGCAGACCCCAAGTCCTGCCCGGTCCCCAGGTTTCCACCGCCACACAAAGGTCCCCGCCGAGACCAGGCTTCGAGGTGTCCCATCGCCACAGCCTCAGCATCAGGGGCGCCTCCTCTCCTCTCCCCCCCCCCCTCCAGTTCTTTATATCGGCTCATTTAGATGCCCCCACCTTAAAGGGAACTTCGCTTCACTACTATAGATGGAAAACAGGTGGGGGTCTTCTGTCACTCGCGTTACAAATACTTAACTGTTAAAAAAAAAAAAAAAGACATTTTCGCGTACCATCTAAACTCAACCAGACTAAGGCACACCAAAGATGTGTGTATTTCGGCGTCTGTAGATTTTATCTCTGAAAGGTACGTTGAAAGGAACTCCAGCCGAGGATGGGCACAGCTCTCCGGGAAGTGTTCCGAAATCCGCAGGCTGAAGGTGACAAAGATGACACAGTTTGAGGGACATCAGAAGTAGGAACAGGGAGGTGGCTCGGGCCACAGCGAGAGGAGCAGGGTCTTAACCTAGCCCTAGGTGGGGAGGATAGGATAGTCACTGTGCAGTTGTCAGTTTTTCTCTTTATCTGAAAATTGTCCTTAGAAAATGCTTAGAACGAAAAATTTAAAAATTACCCAGAATTGGAAAGAGAAGGGGGTATGAACTAGTGTAAGGAGTGGGGGAAATATTTGACAGCAGGACTAGAGCTGCTGGGGAGGGTGAGCCCTGGAGGATGATCAGGGGGTTGCCAGGCCTCCCAGAGGGGGCTGGACCAGGAGTTCCAGTCCAGGGAGGGTGCAGCCCGGTGGCCCCCGGAGTGAGGAAGGAGGGAGGAGTCGGGGACACCCGGTGCTGGGAAAGCTCTGACCTACCCCAACCTCCGGAAGCTCCCACCTGCCCAGTCCTCGGGCGATGCTGGGGATAAGGTCGCTGGAGCAGCCCTGAGAAGGCAGACTCGGGGTGTCACCCCGGTGTCACCCAGATCTTGCAGGCTCACCCTGATACCCAGATCGCCAGGCCTGAGAAGGCGCCCAGTTTCGGGAGGATTAAATCTCAACTGCCTCGTCTACCGCAGTTACAAATGGACCCACTGAGGACCTGGCAGTTCGGCGACTGAGAAGTTGTCCAATAAATTACCACACACGTCCACGGGTATTCCCTAAAGTTGTGTTCGGAAAAAAGAAAAGAAACAGCCCAACTYCATCAACGTCAAGGGCAAGACATCAACAGGCCACAGGAATGAGGACCAGGCTGAAAACAAGAAGAAACACTGTGTTGTTCCAGGAAACAAGAGAAGAAAGCAATCACAGAACTGAGCATTGGTGAGCTATCCTTTCTGTAAAAGGGGCAGGGATATTTAAATTTGCTGCTGTTTGCACACTAAATCTCTGAAAGGTACCACAGGTGCACACATACACACACACACACACACACACAAGACCAATAATTAATATGTACAGGTGTGGAAACTGCACAATTGGGGGCAGAGGTGATATGAAGACTTTTTTTAAATGAACTTTATTTTTGAACAATTTTAGATTCATAGAGAAAATGCAAAAACTAAGACTTTCCATAGAGTCCACACCCAGTTTCCCCTATTATTAGCATCCTACATTGAAATATGTTTATTACAACAAAYGATCCAGTGTTGATACATCTTGATTCAGATTTCCTTGGCTTTTACCAAGTGTCCCTTCTGTTCCAGGATCATATCAAAGAGACCACAGCACATTTAATGGTCTTGTCTCAGGCCCTTCTTGGCTGTGTGTTTCTCAGACTTTCCCTAGTTTTGAAGAGCACTGGGCAGGATTTTGTAGAATGTTCCTCCGTGTTGGAACCTGCCTAACCGTTTTGCTAGAATGCACACTTTTTACTGTATGCCTTTGAATAGTTTTTTCTTTAAACTACCTGAACTATGTGAATCTGTTACCTGTTTAAATTCATTAAAAGACAATCTGCAGAAACTAGGAAGAAGGGAAAGGAGAGGGAGGGCAAGTGAGGAGGGAAGAAGAGGAGGAGGAGGGCGGTAAAGATAAAATGTAATTTGAAATGAACTCTAGCTGAGGCTACTTACCCCATCTACCCCTTCACCCAGGATCTCCCTAAGTGACCGTGAAAACGTCCAGCACTGCAAATAAAAGCAAGACGCAGAAAGCTGGTTTAGAAGGTGGGAAAGCCTGCGGGCTTGGGTTTTTGACCTGGCCACTCCGACCGACTCCCGACAGGGCTAGAGTACGTGCAAGGTGCCAGATCCAGCCCAGAGCAGGGGTAGCCAGCACAATCTAGASCGGTTCGTGGATGACAGATGACGGACAGAACAGAGTGGTGGGCGGAGCAAATATTCTGCTAAAAACAACAACAACAACAACAAAATGTGTTTCTAGGGCTGGGCTGTGGCTCAGTGTAGAGCACTTGCCTTAGCATGCATGAGGCACTGGGTTTGATCCCCAGCACCACATGTAAGAACTAAGTAAACAAAATAAAGGTATTGTGCCCATCTACAACTAAAAAAATATATATATTTTTAAAAGTGTTTCTAACTTTTAAATACAAATACCTCTAATTATCAAAGATTTTTTTTAATTGGTCGTTCAAAACATTACATAGTTCTTAATACATCATATTTCACAGTTTGATTCAAGTGGGTTATGAACTCCCAATTTTACCCCGTATACAGATTGCTGTATCACATCAGTTACCCTTCCATTGATTGACAWATTGCCTTTCTMGTGTCTGATGTATTCTGCTGTCTRTMYTATTCTCTACTATCCCCCCTCCCCTCCCCTCCCCTCCCCTTTTCTCTCTCTCCCCCTTCTACTGTAAATCATTTCTTCGATTTGTATTATCTTGTCTTACCCCTCCTTTCCTCTTATATGTCATTTTGTATACCCCTGAGGATCGCCTTCCATTTTTTGAACCATTGAATATAATGAAACACTCACTGCCTGGAGGAAGGCCAGGCTCCTGCAGGACCCCCGCGGGCGCACCTGGCACCTCGCGGAAGCTCTGGAGGAATCCCTCCTGAGTCGGGAAGACAGGTGGTCCCCAGCAGGTCCCCAGCGGGGTCGAAGGCGCAGGGCTGAGACTGCGCAGAGAGGTTTCTGCAGGAGGCGACCCCAGATCTGACTAGTAACTGTTGGCCAGGACTCTCTGTCCGACAAAGGGTTTCAAGCTGAGCCCGCAGGGGAGCACCCTGAACAGGCCCTTCCTGCCCCCAGCCCTTCCCGCCTTGAGGCCTTTGCAAGGGTTGCCCTCTCGGCCTGGGCTTGCCGGGCCCCTTCCACCCTTGGGCAGCTTGTTGCGATCAGGTCGCGTCCTTGCGCCAGGTCCACCCCGTCAAAGGTCAGCTCCCTGTGTAACCTGACCCGCATTTCCTTCCCTATCTGCCTCCTCCCCGACGTCCTCCTGTCCTCCTGATGAGGTCATCTCCCTGAACCCTTTCTCAAAAGGCCCTGGGGGGTCAGACTTCCAACGCCCTTGACCCTTCTCTTACAGACGCGCCAAGTAATTCCAAGAGCTAGGCGAAGAGCCCAATTTAAAACCCCAGCACCACCCCAGCAGGTCTCCTCTCGCGCATTTCTTAAAATAATTTATCTATGAACCTCCTCTCCTAATGTCATCTAAACTTTCTCATTGTAAGTTCAAGCAGCTGCAAAAGATGTGATTTCCGTGTATTTTGTAAATGCTAATTTAAAGAATAACTGAGTATAAGGTGTTCTAAAGTGTTCTGTATGAAATCTAGACACACACCGCCCCGCATGGACACCACATAAACCAGAATCTGTGTTGAACGTCCACAAATTAGCTTCTCTTTAACATTTGGAAACTTTACATTTTATTTCCCACTTGAACTCATATTTTCATACTATTCCCCCCCCCCAAAAAATTTTTTTCTTCATATAATACATATTTTATGCTTGAATGCATTTATTGATCACTTAGTGTGACCCTCAGCATTTATTGATCACTTAGTGTGCCCCTCAGCAATACAAATATGTTCATAAATGGACATTTTTTCTTGGGACCATAAGTCCCTGAGTGTTCGTGCAAAAGGACCAGGCCAATGGCAAACTTGACGAATCATTTCAGCCTTTTATTCAGAAGCAGGATTACACCCACGGGAATGGCCCCATCCTCCTGGTGGAAAATGAGCCGCTGGCGCAGGAGGAGTGTGGGCTTATAGAGGTGATTTGGTGAGCATGTCAGTTTGGGCACTCAGGAATTTGGGTTTGGGATTAGGGGTGGTAGCCAGGATTTATCTTGGAAGAGATTAGTGTTTCCTAGAGACTATCATTCTAGGTTTGATAAAACACTGTCTCCCCATCAGCGGCCACTATCTGGAAAGCCGTTTATCTTGAAAGAGATGAAAGCTATCAATGTATGGCTTTCTTTTTCATTCCCTTTYCCAGGCCTCACTATTTTGGGGCTTTTCATTTTCCATATCTAATACTGAA